GAGCAAATGCCATGCACTTTTTGGTGATGCCCTCAGTTTTAAAATCGTTCCGCCGCCGCCGATTGTCGTATTACATGCGCAGGTGTTAGTAAAAAATTATACTCGCTTGTTTAAGTACACAATACGACCCCAATTTCGATCGTTCAGTCGCCTAAGGTTCATGGATTTGCTTTGTTTCATCTCAAAGCCTTTTCATGACCGTGGACTTAAGTCAAGGCGTATAGCAACCCGGACACGAAAAAAGACCATGGGAGTGGCAGGCTCGTTGGCTCCGTGCGCCGTCATCAGGTAGCAGACCAGTAAATACACTTCCATAGACCCCAATGGTAAATACTCCTACTTCAAAAATTCGGGAAAAATACTCACAACTCTCCAAGGTGTTCGAGACACACATCAAATTAAAGCTTATTTCATCATCTTTCATTTTCTTTTCAATTTTTGGTGGGTCAACTCATGACTTTTAGGAGAAATTTCCATCTGAAGATGATCACCCCTGAAAATAGTCCTGAAGCCCATCGCCATTTTGAAAAACGATGCCTACGCTCCATTGCAAAATAGAGCGCTTTTAGGGTCCAAATTACATCCAAATTACACAGAACTGCAAGCTCCCAGTCCTGTGCACGGCTTCCACCCATATTTTTTACAAACCCTCAAGTTCATGGCCCACAGCATGCTCAAATACTGAAGAATTTGAGGACATGCATATCGTTATTTGGCAATTTCAGACCGATTTACTGGTCTGCACCCATCAGGGGCGTAATTCCCGAGTGAGGTGGGTGGGTTATATATACACAGCCACTATTTTTCCTCGTGCATTGTTGGAGATGGTCGAAAAATTCGAAGCGCTGGACATTTGAAACCATTAGTTTTTTTTCCGGTCAGTAGTTTCGTAAGCGTATGATTTGAGTATATATTTGCCATTTTCATTTATTCTCATCAATATATGGTGTTTTTAGTAAGGCGGCAGAATGCTAATACCCGAATTTATAACCACTTAGCTAAAGTTGTTTAATGACACTCTTTCAAATGGGCCTTGTTTTGTCGATCGTAATTTGAAAAACTTACTCTCCATGGCAAACTCTTGGCGGCGCACTGCATTCCCTAGACTTAGCGTAAGTACAATAACAGATGAATTGTCCCAAGCTAGATAAGGGAGCTGCATTAGAATCAGACAAACAAAATTCCCTCGTAAAAATTTGTAAACGGGTCAGTAGTTTGATATAAATATGATGAAGTAGGGGAAACTTGCTAGAATTTCTCTCAATCATAGCAATGTGTCAGTGCCGGCCGAAAGACGCGCGACGCGAAACAATAATTGATGAGACAGAATAAGGACGAGCTTGGTAAGGTTAATTGCTCGAAGTGACTCTGAATAATCAACTGCTCGGTACATAAGAATGATTGTAGAAAAGAGTTACGTAACAGCATTGATGTGTATAGCGCAATGCTGATGCATCTTTCGTGCAGCTATGAAACACAAAGTAAATCTCCCACTGCGGAAATAAGGATTATGTTTAAAACGCAAAGAGAAAAGCACCTACTGAAACAGCCTAGTTGTTAAAGGTTGTGGAATGCTCGAAGACATTTTAGTCATTTTTGGGGTATATGTAGCCTAAGGTGTGATGAAATAAAAACGACTATTGTTTCTGTCATGAAATGAGTACAAAGGTTACTTTTGAGAGCTATTTTTCAGGTCCTGTTTCGACCCGAACGTGCAATTTGTGTAAAAGTCGTCGTTGCGGGCAGCAAACAAAACACAGTAAATCGTGACGTAATAAACAGGACTTGTTTATGCTACTCTGCATCGGGAGTCCTGTTTATTACGTCACGATTTACTGTGTTTTGTTTGCTGCCCGCAACGACGACTTTTACACAAATTGCACGTTCGGGTCGAAACAGGCATGACAGGACTTGAAAAACAGCTCTCAAAAGTACCTTTTGTACTCATTTTGTGACAGAAACAATAGTCGTTTTTATTTCATCACACCTTAGGCTACATATACCCGAAATATGACGGAAATGTCTTCGAGCATTCCACAACCTCTTTAAACTGTCTGACAGCGGACCCAGGGTTACGGGTTCGAACCCGCTTGGTGTCCTTTTTTTGGTTTTCGATGCTCGCGGTTCTGTCATTTAAGAGTATTAATTTCCCGTCGTCATTTACCAACAGCAGTTAGCTCGGTCGGTCGGTAAGCTGACTCACAGGTTGGGACTGTCTGCGAAGTCCAGGTTGGCATCTGCGTACAGGTACGGGGTTCTTTTGCTGACTCGGCAGCAAGGCTTAGGGTGCCACCTCGTTTCCTCCCTTCATGGTGCCTGACTTTCGAGTTACATGGATGGACAGGGAAGGAGGTGTGGTGGGCCGGGTACCGAGTCCCGGAAGAGTTCTATATTGGAAGTGGGTAAGGGGCTCATTAAGTTAGAGTCATAAATCCGACTCCTGAAGACTTGGCCATCGCCACATAACTTTTTGTTTTATTTTCTTTCTTTTCTATCGGAGGATAATTGCAAGAATGATTAATTTATTATATTGAGAGCTTGTACTGTAATCGTTCGAAATTAATTTTTAGAATTGCTCGAAAATACAAAATTCAATCCAGCTATTAGGTTTTTATTTCATTGTCGCAAAACTGCATGTACATGTACATGCTCAGTACCTTGCGCATACCTTGTTCAGGCCTGTTCCCTGATCCCAGCCTGCGGGGGGGGGAGGGTTCTTTAAATCATATAGTGGAATTTTAAAAATATTTTAATACTTTTTTATGGGCACAGTTGTAGCTGTCAACCCCCGTATATGAAGCGACTTCGCGCAACTTCGCACTTACCTTTAGCCGATAAGACAATCACTCCCGGCTGCAAACATAAAATGATCCGAAGACGTGGGCCAGTCAAAACTGCGCAACATAACATGACATCATTGTCTAGATGGCATTGCACGCCTGTGGGAATCTCCCTTGCTATAAATAGAGCGTGAGTCACGTCAGTGCACTTACGGAGGCCCAGAAGAACCATACTCGGAATCGTGGATATTCCCTTGTTGCAACAGAGAGAAGGCCGTCGCGAGGAGAGTCCAACGTTTTGTATGATGGTCTTTTTGGCTTGCTCATTTTCTCACGAACACGATCAATAACAATACCCTTCAGTACGAAATGCATTTTATGATTGTAAACGTCAATGTGCAAAAGGCTCTTTGAATTTATCTGATCTTATATTAGAGAGTAGAACTCAATAGTCAACGCTAAGGCGTTAACACTTTTAAACACAGTTGTGATTTTGTTTTGTTGTAATTTTTTTGGGGGGTAAGTTTTTTTCTACGATTTTACCTAACCATTTCTGCTATTTGGGTGGTAAGTGAAATCAGTGGCGTAAATCCGGGGGGGGGGGGGGATGTATGGCCCCACACTTTTTGACCAGGGTATTTTACACTGGGTTGCCCTTTTTCTTGTCAATTTTTTTGGACAGAATGATTTCTAACTGCAATCACCCCTAGAACAATTGAGGTTGGAATTTATCTTATTTTTCCTCAAGAAAAAATGATGAGAAATCATATGGAGATGGGTAAAAACGAATTTTACTTACGACCTTTTACATCCAGCATTTTCGTACCAAGGTATTCTTATTCGTTCAAGTTTGTTTACTTGCGTGAGAAAGAATTTGTATAACGATGTAAAGATTGACCTACCTACAGCCAATGGGTTCTTCATTTGGTCAGGAAGGCTTGAAGTAATGCAGTCCTTATCAGAGGTCATATTAGATTTTTGTTCGCAAATATTAATGAGTCCTTCAAGTTTCTACAAAAAATATACATTTATCCTGAAAAATATTTTAGTCTCCTATTTCAGTTCCAGTTTTCACCCAATGACCGCCACAAAATTAGTTCATAATTTTTCATCTTTGTACGAGAACACCGAGTTCCACTAGTCCACATAGGGCCTATATTAGATTTTCGGAAGTGAGGGTTCCATTTTTGGCACGATGTTTCTCTTTCACGTCAGGCGATTTATCAAGAACTGCATCCCGACACAAAAAACATCCAGAAAGTCACACAGACGGCTGTTTCATTATGCAGCTGGATATCACGCTGGATAAGGGTCCATGATTTTTTTTCTCTGGAACATACTCCTCTTAAATGCATGAAAACTATTTGACATACCTTATGGTTTATGTTGTTGAAAAATGATTTTCTTAAAAAAAAAAATTAAAAAAAAGCTTCCATGCTTTTCTGGACAACTGAGGGCGCTGCTGCTGTCATGTAGTTTAAGGACGACATTGTGTTCAAATTGTGAACCCAACAGTAGCTGATTAAAAACATCGGTGAACAAAGTTTGCCCATTTGCTTACTGCAGTGTACTGACACAACTACGAATCACCACAGAAGATTCAAGACAGCAAAGTATTCAAAATTCTGGCAACTTTCGGTGCTGAAACAAATGTGGTTTCTGCCTGAAATGACATCTCACTTTTGCTCACGAATACGAAAATTCGCATTAGCATAAAAACAAAAAGGCACCAAAATACCCTTGAAAATGGCAAAACAAAAATAAAAAAGTGTTACGCATAAATCCTTAATGGCTGCGCGCCTGCCAATCAACAACATTCAATAATCATTACATGTTCATAACAACAGAAAGGTATTTTGCTATTATGAGGTTATATTCTTCAAACTTTCTTAACTACATTATTTTCAGTAATTGTATATTGGGTTAAAGCTTACAAAACATTGTGGTACTATTTTCATCGAGACAAATAGCCGGCATTAGAGTGTTCGTTTGAGTGCCGCTTGCTTGCTTGCTTGCTTGCCTGCTTGCTTGCTTGCCCCCCCCCCCCCCTGCCTGCTTGCTTGTTTGCTTGCTTGCTTGCTTGCCTGCCTGATTGCTTGCTTGTTTGCCTGCCTGCTTGCTTGCTTGCTCGCTTGCTCCCCTGTTTGCTTGCTTGCTTGTTAGCTCGCTTGCTTGCTTGCTTGCTTGCTTGCTTGCTTACTTGCTTGCTTGCTTGCTTGCTTGCTTGTTTGCGTGCTTGCTTGCTTGCTTTTGGGTAGATACGACTCCTCGGAACCGATGCTGTCTCGTTGCAACGCTTGATTTGGTAGCTGATCGGAACTCTTGGACTGCTTGTCTTGGGAGAGGCGATGGCATTGACGTTGTGCAAAGATGATGTCTTGGCTGTGGGCATGCCAAGATCTGAAGAACTTCAGCTATGGATATGTAAGCTGAGTTTCGAGTTCGATAGTTGATCATGTCTCTATGCCTCGGTCCATCGGCAGAAACCGTCTTGCAATCTTTGCCTGCAGAAATTGAAGAAGCTGCTGTCTTGAGTCAGTCCTTCCTGCCAAGGGTCTCAAATCGGTCCTTAGACTAAGTTCGTAGCTAACTTATAGAGCGGCGTAATTTGTGTTATAATTGTATAAAGCTTATGTAAAAGTTTGTATAATTGTTACATACGATCTAAAACAAAGACTTTTAAATAAAATTGCTGTGTGCATGGGTTACATAAACAAAATATAAAACAAAGTTACAATAATACTGCAACCCTGTAGCAGGTTGCATAAACCCAAAACTGCAGTATAAGCAAGTTAATTTTAGAAAGGTCACCAGATCCATGTTTCACAACTTGACAATGTTACTGTGAAGACAGATTAAAAGAGAGTAAATTAATCTTTCAACAAAATCAATATTATTGATAATTACCATTAGTTAATTTCCAATCACAAAGGTTAAATGGGACACAAGGGTGCATTTTCAGGGACTGCATTAAACCAAATTACGCGGGTCCTTCAATGACATAGGTAAGTCCTAACTTGGCTTCTGTTTTATCAGCTTTTTGCTCATGATGTAGGTGCAGCTTAGTGGGGGTCTAGGGGGAAAGATTCAAATACTAATAACATGCTTTTCGGTATAGGATTATGCGTCTACCCTGGAAGTAGCGGTTCATGCATTTTGTACAGTGTCAGTGAAGATGGAAACGTTGATGACGTGCTGCCCTTGCGAAGTTGCGTAGAGAGCTTTCCCTTCCTTGGTGTCTACGCACGGTGTCACCTTGGCGTGTATGCCCAGCTCGTCTCGGACCGTAGTCCTGGCGATTTTCTCCCATACACTGTCGATCTCATCTCCGGTGTCAGGAAAGAGATTCCAATTTCCACCAAAGTACCTGCGAAATAATTTCCAATACATAATTTGCATAATAAGAATTTAAAGTTCATCTAGAAACTGTCAACAAGCAACAGTTCAGCATATATTGCCGACCTGTCTTCCTTCATATAATATGCATCATCTTAATTAGAAACTTTGGTTAAAAGTTCACGACAAAATGGAAACCTTTGACTAAATGACATTTGCGAAATCCAATTTTAACCAACATTTGTCACCAAAAGTTGTAAGCCTATTGAGACTATCTGCAAAAAAGGGGTTTTGTTCCAGATCGTGACATTTAGATTTCTTGGGAACAAAAATAATTCCGTTTTTCGTCATGTACAATGAAAGCTCCATGTATGTCTGACGTTTAATGGAATAGCCAAAATGTTCAATGACTAATATCCAAAGGACCAATAAATGTGGCTGATTGACAATTTCTGTTTTACTGACTTGTATGACGTTGCAAGTTTTAAGAGTGCATCGAAGTTGATGTCTTTCTCAGATTTCTTGAGTTGTTCCCAGTCTGCCTGCAGCCCCTTGATATTCATTTCCTTTGTAGCTTCAATGCTCGGGGATAGGACTCTGATCCAGCCAATACCTTCAGACCTGGAAAAAAAGGATTTTTCCCTTCATAATCATCTCATCAATTGTGTCTCCCTAATGACTGGTGTCTCCCTATTATAGAAGAAAGTACGATAACGTGTCTCCCTAAAGGTACATTTGTAATATAATACATATCACAACTTTCGATCAGGCTCTTTTGCCAGCGTATATAGTTTTCCTGTTTCTACAGAGATGACATCCTTTTGGGTTGCTATAACCAGGTAGGACCTTACTTTATGTAAAAGCAAAGTAAAGTGTTCTGAATTACTAAGTTTTAAGGGACACCTAATTTTTGTAAAGTAAATGGGCAACGATCCTATCAGGAGAACCTTTACAGAAATTGTTAATAACTCTAATGGCCCAAAACTCCATGTTTAAATTCCGAAATATACTTAAGTGCATTCTTTAATACTGATTCACTGTAGGAATGTCTAAACGTCTTTTTCTCTGTTTGCAGGTTTCCTAGTCCTTATTTGGGTCGCTGCCTTCAGTGACGATCCACCTTGTGGCATTTGTCGAATTTCAATAACGAATAAAAACAACTGCCATTAAAATTACAATTGCTGATTGCCTTACCGGTTCACCTTCGATGGAGCACAGGTCTCCAAAAACGATTCCAGAAGTTTGGAGCGATCTTCTACGGGATACTCCCGAGGATCGAATAGTAGGCTGTCGTCGTTGTAGACCCTCCAGGCGTCTTTGCGCAGGCGGTCTGAGCGCTCGGGGTCACACTGCCCTCTTGAGTCGAGGTAAGGCTGACTAGAGGCGCCATCAGAAGTTGGCCTAAAACATTAAGGGTGCACACCGGTTTGTAGGCTTCAATCGATCCGCCGAGCTCATGAATAACAGTTTTACCCTCAAAATATTTTATATTAAAAAGTTCTGAGAGCCATAAAATTGGGGAATTGGAGAGATATGGCAATGAACCTCTGACCCGGACTTGGGGTTTCCAATATTGAGCAGTTTGGATGCAATTGGCTCGAAAGTGGCACCTTTTTGCCATGTTGTGGAGGGATCGTTTTTCAAGATGGCTACTTTTCCGCTTTGGAGAAAATAGGGGTCGTCTTCTTTGGGTGAGAATCTTTCAAAAAGTCAATTGCCAACCAACCAAAAAATGAGAAGAAAATTAAAGACTACATGTGGATCATCATTTTTCTGTGCAGTTTATGAGAGTTCTGAGTATTCTTAAAAGAATTTTGACGTATGGGCATTTAGCACTTGTGTCTATAGGAATTGTAATGCAGGGTTGCACCCTTAAGAACGAAGTTATTCAATGGATTGTATCGCACTCAGCGGCATGTCAAGGATCAAACGTCTTGGAGTACCTGAGGGTGCATCAATTTATCCTGGTGTAACTAACGGCAAAATTTATGAAACGTATCATATCAACAGTGCAGTATATGGGGGACATCCAGGAGGGGCAGTGGTCCCCTTTTACCCCTGTAATTACGCCATTGATCGCACCCACTGGGCTCAATAACATCATTTGCTTATATGCAACTTGGTTTTGTAATCATTTATTTTTACAAGCTCGAGCTTCAAGTGGTGAGGTGCGATAGACTACATACATCGGACCAACTTGCGCATACAATGTTGACTATCATTGGAGACTATAGAAGCTTCGGAAATTGGCAAGGGGTGGTGGGGTGAAAAAAAGTTAAGGGGTCGGGTTGGCGAACTGGATGCCATCACAATCCGGGGGCGCTGCTTTATATAGTGTGTGGGTGTGAGTATGTAAACATCGGCAATCATGGACCTAATAAAAAAAGGTTAGGGCATAAACAATACGTCCACGATCGACCGAACACCCACGATTGAAATTCGTGTGCAAAACCACAAGGGCGGATCCAGAACACAATTTTTTTGGGGGGCCAAAACAAAATGTGGTACCCAAAAAGTGTGTTCAAAAAAATAACGGCGTGGGGTTCGGGGCCCACTTAAGATCGTGGTGTACTCATTGCCTGCCTTTATTGTGAAGTCACTAAACAAAAAATTAAAAAAATGGATGAGCCCCCTTTGCCCCCCCCCCCCGGATCCGCCCTTGCAAAACCAATGAGAGCTGCTGCTGAAGAGTACAAACAAGGGAATGAGGATTCGGGACAATGGGAGGTCCACCATCGCCGGTGTTTACAAAGATGGGTAGGTGCGTACATGTATGCCTGCATAAAGCGTGTACATAATACATTTAGCCGTATTTTTCTTGTATTGACGAAATCACGTAAAATTGGTGGTTGACGATCAATAATTTAAACCTTTGGTGGTAGTAAACATGTTGTTAATATTAAATTTGTCCATTTCAATTTTTTAACTTATGGGTTTTTGTTATGTAGGAACGATATCCTTAGGATAGGTAGCCAAATAGATTGACAAAACCCTAAAAAATTGAGGACCTTTCCGTAATTTTGAGACGGAGTTGAGGGTTGCAACACAACTGGCACCCCCTACCGTCTTGGCTACCGGCTTGTGTTTAAACTCCCGCTGCACAAAATCCTGATTATTTCACGTATAATAACGTTTGCCCTTTTTTTCTGGATCTTTTGTCTTGACAAATGGGTAATATAATCCCCAAACTCTTATGAAACTCACCTGCTAAGATTGGAGAAGCTGGAGGCCAGGGATCCATTGGCTTCAACCTCGTCATGTGACGAGGAGGAGTATCTCTGCTCACTGCTCATCTCGGTCCGTAAAATCCGACAACTTTGACAAGCTGAAGTTAGAGGAAATTAAACAATGTATAGTCATACAGTGTATGTTTGAAACCATGACCAAACACCTCAAAAAATAAGTTGCCCCATGTGCCATTTTTGCTAGTCCAAGCCTAGTGTCATGTTTGTTTCTATATGGCCAACCAACTTGAGTAATGACTGACTGCCGGACTGCCTGACTGGTACTTGTTAATAAAGCGGTGCCGCATTGAACTTTTTTTGCAAAATAAATGGAGACTTTTGTCAACCGGAAGCGTTTTTTTTTTTTTGCCGCATGCTTTTATTTTATTAACCAATCACATCACGCACCCTAACATGAATACTTAACACTATGTGTGGATGGCAGACACTAAGGTTCTCGTAGTGTTTTTCATTCCATTAAACTTATCCCAACCAACACAAATATTGGATGAAAATGGACATGGGTTCGAGCCACAGATCTGGCAATCCATAGTTCATTCCACTATCTATTAGGCCACTGTGGCAGCTCCACGAAAGCCTTTCTTTGAAATGCTTTTATTTACATGCATGACTGAGTGATAGCAATGGTGTGACGTCATTGTTGTTTTCATATGAATAAACATCGAAATAACTGAATAATCATGATCCATTGACGATGTGTGCTGCACACTAAAACGCCGCAACCCGGAAGCTGTTCCCAATTAAAATCCAGTGGGGACAGCCGGTAAACTTCCTAAATATCAAGTGTCGACTGTAGATTGAAAAGTGTACGGTCCTCAGCGGTTAGTTTTAACAGGTATGCAACTGGGAAGTCACAAAAAAAGAGGATATTCAAATCTTTCCAAGACTACAGTGTTATTCCATTGTGAATGGCACACATGGGAAGCAAACAAAACGAAAAGAAGAAGAAAGCAGCTGATCCGAGGGAAAGTCGGTTGCATGCCTGTTTTATAGGGCCGACGGGGACGGCAAATTTCAGTGTTGTCATCTCCCAATCAAATCGGCGTCTCTACACCCCTGCCTCACTGTCCACTCATATGAGCTTATCATACAAACATTCAAATCTCAACGTCATCTATTATTTTTCATGTTAAATTTATAGATGCTTCAGTTAGCAGCTGTTCAATATTTCAAGCAAAATTCAAAAAGTCTATTAACGTATTAAACGAAGGCAAAGATAGAAATACTCGATCAGCTGCATCTTGAAAACAAAACTATACCCCCATAGTCACATTCAATTTTAATTTTGTTGGAAATTATCAAGTGATTTTCTGATTTCGTTTTTGACCAAATGTGTATTCATTTCCTTATGACATGCAGCAGGAACCACAAATGCAGGCAATCAGAGAGAACCACTCTATACACACTCTTATAGTCGGTCTACTTACACGTGACCTTCAACACTTACCTCTAGCTGTGTAAGACAATCACTGGTGGCAGCAAACATAAAATGATCCGAAGACGTGTGCCAGTCAAAACTGCGCAACATAACATGACATCATAGTCTGGTTCTCTAGACCTGACAATTATTCCCGACGCTCACGTCTAAATTGTAGGTCAGGCAGTCACCGCGGCTAAAAATAATCATGACGACATTGATTGCCCTTTTTCAAAGCTCGGTTTCGTTTCCGAATTCGCTTTATCACTTAGAGTGGGGCTGTTAAGGTCAAATATGTGATACAATACATTGTGCACTTTGTGACTAAAGCATGAAACATTGCATGTTGGTTCTTCATGCCATAAAGAAAATGTCCAGATGTGCAGACATTTCATATTTGACCTCTGGTGACCATTGAGAGGTCAATGACCTTTTACAAACACTATTTATTACAATTGTTCTTGAAAACACCAATGACCTCAGTCTATGTCATTGGTCTTTAGGCAATGGAAATAATCAATGATAATGATCAGATGTAAGAAAAAATTATACTTGACCTCAAGTGACCTTTCATAGGTCAATGACCTATATATACAGTATTTATAGTTATTTATTAGATTTACACTTTAAACCCCAATTTTTTTAAGACATAGACTTGGGCCATAAGAAAGTGGTGCTTTCAAGAACAATTGTTATAGTGTATGTAAAGGTCATTGACCTCTCAAACGAATACAGAGGTCAAATATATCATGTCTCCACACCTGAAAATGTTCTTCATGGCATGAAGAACCAACGTGCGAAGTTTCATGCTTTAGTCACAAAGTGCACAATCGTATCACTCAACAGCCCTACTAATGTTCCGATCAACATTTTCAATGAATCACTTGCTTCATATACCATACAGTTATGATATACAGTTTAATATTTCTATAAGAAAACATTAACTAATGTTGACCTGGAATCTTCAAAGTTAGGCACCCTAATAGCACTGTTGGCAGGCGGAGCCCAATGGAGACCACGCCGAGTTTTGAAAAATCCCGGTAACGGTCGTCAAATTCAAAAGAGTACATGACGCAGCAAAAAGTTCGCCCCTCGTATACGATCCGAGTAAACACATGATGCACAAAATCGTCGTTGAATTTCCAGTTTTCTAAATGCAAGCAATAAATATTAATTATCAACTCATATAAGAAAATTTTAAATAAGCAATTAGGCGGTTAACAAAGCCTATATCATACTCGGAAATACCCGGGCGCTATCTGATTGTTGACGAAATGAATCCGGCAAACTTCGGACATTTGCGGAAAAACACTTCAGCCACAGATTCTGCTTGGTTTAAATATTTTAAATTATGTAAATCTGAACACAATTAAAATAAACTTCAATTTCAAAACAAAATTGGTGGGAAATGTATTTCTCTCTTCCAAACCACCCTTTCACGAAATGTCTGAACCATAGAGCTATATTAAATTACTAAAGCGCTAATTCCTCATTCTTGCGCGTGGAGACGCTTTGAAGCCGCTCTGAAATGAATTTCTCTAACGAAAATAATTTTTGTGTGCAACTTCTACTCCTCTTCCATTGTTTTGGTTTATTTTGTTGAAAAAGGCGCTTCTTTAAACATTTCTTTTAAAAAATGCCATACTTTTCTGGACAACTGAGGGCGCTGCTGCTGTGATGTAATTTTTGGAAAAGGCCTACACTGTTCAGTTAGGGGTTTTCTGTTCAAATTGTTGCTGTTGCTCATTGAAAACATGTGTGAAAAACAGTTTGCTCGTGGGCTTTTTGCCATGTACTGACACAACGCTTCACAACAGAAAAGAACATTTACTGCAACAAAGTATCCAAAATTCGGTGCTGAAATGACTGTAATACTTAGGTTTCTGCCTGCAATGAGAAAACACTTTTACTCATGAATATGGAAATTCACATTAGCATAAAAAACAAAAAGGCACCAAAATACCCTTGAAAATGGCAAAACAAAAATTAAATACAAGGTAAAATGGGACACAAAGGTGCATTTTCAATGATTGCGTTAAAACAATTACATAGCTTGCCCTTTAATGACAGTCCTGTCTTTGCTTCTATTCTATTAGCTTATCTGCTCATAATGTAGCAATGAAGAGCATGCAGAGCAATTAGAGAGGGATTTAGGGGAAATGCTGAACATAGTAAAGATGTACACGCTTTGGGTATAAGATTAAGCGTCTACGTAGGAAGTAGCTTAGCTTAGCTTCAGAAGTGCCTTCGGATAACACTGTAACTTAAATACATGTACCAATCATTAACATAAAACCCTGTCATGCATGAAAAGTATATATTTTAATATAACTCTGCTATCTATTAAAGAACTTCCCTGTCCATAACACAGTATTTCTTGTGTTTTCCATCGTTCGATAAAACACCAAAAAGTATCATTCGATAAAACAAACTTGTTCTACCTGTAAATGTTTGCATTATGGGTAGGCGACTAAACTGTTAGTGGTCATAAATGATCACCATAGATGATCACAGCATTGGACTCTGTCCAGAAAGTATTTAGGGACAGGGAACGTTTTAAAACGCATTTTGATTTACAGCATGGTGTAACGAGTTAACCTATAGGCCCGATGTTTTCTCCGTATGGAGAGCCAATTGCAATAGGTTTGTTCCTGTTTCGACCATTTCCTAGATTGTACTCCGAAATGAGCTTATTGGTTGCAGACCAGTAAACATAGGCCCAACATTGCCTACGCCGGCCAAATCACGACTTGCATGTCCTCAAATTCTCTGATATTAGAGCATTTTATTGGCCGTGACTTTGAGCGTTTGTAAAAAGGAATGGTGGAGGCCGTGCACAGGACTGTATGTGTGACCTTGTATTTCTTTGAAATTTGGCAGAAATAGAGCACAAAAAGTGCTCTATTTGCAATGGAGAGTACGCATCAGTTTTCAAAAATTGCGATAGGTTCCAGGACTTTTTTAGACTATTTATTTGTGATCATCTAAACGTCATTGGACTTGAAGAGTTGTGAGAAATTTTCCTGAATTTCAGAAGTGGGGGCATTGCTCACTGGGGTGGCGGTTTGTTTACTGGTCTGCAAACTAAAGGCTAGGCACGCACGTCGCTGGTTTGCATGCGCTTTCGTCACTCGCTAGCAATATGTAGAATCCATGCATACCAGGTAAGAGTCTATCATAAAAATGGCAGCTATGTTCCCTATCTTTGGGCCTTATACACGAGTTGGTCATATTTGTCGAGTTCCCTGAATGTATTTCATTAATTGTTAATTGTGAAATGGAATAGTGCCAGACTTTTTGTGCAGGCACAATGCAGCCTTATTTTACCGTCATTTTGTTTTAAAAATATGGCTTTAAACAAAAGGGAACGTTTAATTACAAATTTTAAAATATTCATTGAAGCAGACTGAAATTTATTATAACTGAACTTGCTTTCATTTCTCTTTGCAAGTTCCAAAAATTAAGAATTACCTAGCTTTCAATTCAATATGGCCGACTCGTGAATAAGGTCCATTTGCTGCAAGTGACGAGGGGGATACTTGTGTCATATGTTATCTGCACGACTTACTTTTCCATCGAGGATTTGTTTCTGATCAAACACAATGACTTTTAACCAACAACTTTGGCATAAACAAGAAACTATAAAAAAAGAAAACTGCAACGAGAAAAGTGAACTGCAAAAAGTCATTGGCTACTGGTCGTTGATCATGTAGGTCACGCGAGATTTGGTGCAATCTCGTATATTTCCGGCAAGCTTCCTTGGATCCCAGTTCGATGTGTAGATGCTTGGCCTCAGCCCCCACTGGTTCTGCGAGAAAACGCCCAGCTTGGAGTAAACTCCAGGCTTGAATGTGATTCGCTCTCTGAAGCCCAACTTGCGCAGTACAGCCTCTACTTTCATCACGTCTTCTTTGTCGGTGAAATCTTTAGTGTACACGCTGACGACGTGCTGCTCTTGCGAAGCTGTAGCATACAGAGCTTTCCCTTCCTTGGTGTCTACGCACGGCGTCACCTTGGCGTGTGTGCCCAGCTCGTCTCGGACCGTAGCCCTGGCGATTTTCTCCCACGCATTGTCGATCTCCTCTCCGGTGTCAAAAAAGAGAAGCCAAATTCCAATCAAGCACCTTCGGAATAAGTTCCAACAAATGAACACGTAATAGTATATCTTTCAAGTTCTTCTAAGAACGGTCAGTTTTTGGTAAATAAATGTCAATTAGAGCTGAGCAAAGAGGGTTCTCGTGTGCACGGAAAAGCCTTACAAATTGTTCAAGTGTTTGTTTTGTGTACGCACACGGAAACAGCTAATTAAACAAAAAGTGGCATCTCTCTGTGAAAAAAAGTCATACAACCAACCGCCTGCGAATGGAATTTTACATGTAACATGCCTTAAGAAATATTGTGAATATTTTCAACAACAGGGGGCTTTCTTTAACCTCCCCCTTCCCATTAGCACCCCTTCCCATACAGCAACGGAATATATGGAACAAGCCGATACGTGTCCGATACGTGTCCGACATGTGTCCGACACTGGCATTTTTATTAAAGTCGACAGTTTTCAGTGCATGATAGACTAACGATGATGAAATATTTATTGCACAAAAAGACCAAAAAACAAAACAACAACAACAATAACAACAACAACAATCCCTCCCCCCCCCCCCCAAAAAAAAACCCACACACACAACAGACCAATAAAGGTCACTATGATGTAAAATGACAAATGACATGCACCATCCCCAAATTTTGGGGAGAAAACATTTTTTTTTTTTACATACCTATGAGAGATTGCCAGTTGTTTGACAGCATTAAAGTCGATATTTTGTCTCGATTTCTGGAGCTTCTTCCAGTCGGCTTCAAGGTCCTCCAGATTTTTGAACTCTTCCGGTTTTTTGGAGGCCGAAAAGACACGGATCCAACCAATACCATCAGATCTGTAGATACAAGAGTAACACTGAACTTTTTCCCGTATTTTCCGTACTCGTACTCGTGCTCGTACTCATGAAAATATAATTGTATACTCGTACTCGAGTACGGAATAAACTCGAGTATGAGTACTACAACACTGTCAAATACTACAGCACTGTCAAATACTGGAAAATGTTCTGTAGTCGCAAGAAAAAAATCCCTGTATTTGTATTCGTACTCATGGCAAAGTACTCTTACTGGTACTCGTACTCATAAAAAAAGGTTTCGTATGCATACTCTTAAAAATACAGTGTAATAAAAACTGGAAATAAGTGGACTCCCATGAAGGCACGTTCAGCACACAGTTGATTGTCTTATCTGTGAACACCTACATAGCTAATAGCTCCATACTGAATACGATATATACTTGACTACAACACTGGTATTTAAAGCTTGGCAATTTTAAAAGAACAATCGTCTTGAATGCGCTGTTTCGAGCTCGAAAACGAGTTTTCAAATAATGACAATGATTGGAAAGATCATTTTAAAGTAGAATATATAATACAAAACAACTACAATGTGACCTGGTTCTGTATGTGGCCTTGCAAAAATTAGGAGGTGTTTTACATTTTTGTTTGTATGTATAACCTTTTGTGTCTAAAACACTTAAGGTCTATCATTTTGTCTGCTCGCAAAATTTGAACGTCCTTGTAATATTTCTTTATTCAGATCCGGATGTAATTTTTTTCCCTTACTCAAGATGAATTCAATGTTTGAAACCGCCAATACTTTAACAGTAACTCAGGCCTAGGAAGATTGAGTGATAAAACAGTTGTTTACTATTCGTGGATGTCACATGGCCAAAACATGCAATTTTGTAATCAGGTTGACATGGTCAATTGTGTTAAAATAAAGCCACTCCTTCTGTGAAGCTAGTCGATTCATTAACACTATCATTACAGAATTCTTAAGCATAAAACAGGGTTTCCACAAAAATCTGATAACCATTTTTCAGGACTGTTTCAGGAATTTACAAGAATTAAGTATGACAATTTCCATGACATTTAACGCCAATATGCAGAGAATAGTTATTATGATACCGACGAACCGCTGATATAGATTAACCATTTGTTAGCTTTTGAAAACAAGTTTTAATTATTAATGCTCTCCTTCTCCCTTACAGCCCAGTAAATCTAGCCCTTAAATGATCCTGATTTACGTGACTTTTCCATAAATATTTTTATTGTTAATTTTCCATTACTTTTTTATGACTTTCCAGGACAACTTTTTTCCCCAGGACTTCTCATGATATTTCCATGACCGTGGAAACCCTGATAAAATAAAAACTAGGCTACCTCTTCTTCCAATCAACTCACCGGTTCACTTTCGAAGGTGCACTCGTTTCGAAAAACTTCTCCAGCATTTCGTCCAGTTCATCCTCGGCGAAATTGGCCGGATCGAACATAAGCCCGTCTTCTGTCAAAGCCTTTTTCGCTTCCGCAAACAGGCGTTCTGCTATGGTGACGCGAAAACGCCCTCTGGCGGTTCGATTGAGATGTGTTGCTCCCGAAGGTGGCCTGTGAGCAAAAAAAGATATATAATAATAATTAAGAAGCAATAATTACCAAATTTAAAGGGCCAATGGGTATTCAACCACACATAATTGAGACAATTTTTCTCATAATTGAGAAAAAGGAGGGAAATACTTGCAAATTACATCAATCCAATTAATGTAAGAAAACATGTTTTCAAAATTGAAAATTGCAGTCCCATACGAGATACAAATGAAATTGTTGTTGTTAGTGTGTGTGAATGGTTATTCACACACACTAACATGTATGAGAGTCTAAATATGTACAAGATGAAGCATGAAAAGCCATATGTAGGCCTTCAAGATGAAGCATTAAGCCATTGGAACGAGGTTGAGCGCCCTGGGAAAGGGCAATGTTGACGGCGAAGCTGTCTAAAAATAATGTATAGATTTTAGTAAATTTCTTGAACTCACAGAAAGTTGGAGAGGTTTCCAGTGAGCGCCTCAATCGGATCTTCCTCCCCCTCCGAGTTACTGGCTCTCGTAGATCCTGCCGGTTTCTTGTCCATCGTGTCGCTCGTGATGGCCTCACAATACAATGCGCCCTCTACAGGTGGAAGTGTGAAAAGCAGTGTCGGATATGGCCATTTTGCTATTTTGTAGTTTTGTTTTAAAATGGAAATGAAAGCGCGCTCGCACGTCGTTCAGGATCGAAGCAATATCAAAGCCATCATGATGTCTTATCATGGGCCTTGGGAATGTACAATCAAGCAGTGTCGGCACCGACGCGCAAAAGGAAAACAAAAATCTGGATTCGCCTGAATATACGAGGCAGCGAGTGTGAACCGTCCGGGAAAATTAAGAAAAGAAAATATTCCAACGAATGATTTCTTAACGTGAGTAAAAACTTTTGTACGATCTGGAAGCGTACACTTAAGTGTTTACGTGCGTCATGTGCGTGGCCGTACATGTACATGCCAGTGCATGATACGCATACACGTGGTCCCACACTGGTTCCGCACAGAGAGAGTCGGAATACGTGCTTTTCCCCACCCATTGCATTTATCGATCTAAAGCCGTGTCCGCACTTGCCTTTTTTTGGAAGGTTTTACCGAGACGATGGTGAGATGAAAAATGGTCAAACACCCTTTTAAAAGAATCTGATTGGCCATCTAAATCCACGCTCGGAACATTTTTTTTTCATTCATGTTTCGGTTCGATTGGTCTGTTAGTTATTCATCGGTACCGACGTTCAAAGGGAAGGGACTCGCCTGAATATGCCGAGTCGTCCAGATAAAAATCCAGAAAAGAAAATACTCCAAAAGAAAGCGTAATACAAGAACCATGATTTCTCACCGTGGGAAAACCCCCGTAATGCCCGCACGATCACACGTAAAGCTACGCCCGTCCTGCTGGGCCCACAAGCACAATTGCACGTGCTTTTTCCCACGCACTGTGTAGATCAAGCTGATTGGCCATCTAAAACGGTGCTCGAAACATTTTCCATTCATGTTTTGGAATGATTGGTCCGTTCGTTAAGAAGGTCGCGGCACCGACAACTTCATATTACAGCGTCCACAATTGCGCATGCGTAATATTGTGATGTTCACTATTATCAATCACGGACCGATCACGTGAGAATGAGTACGATTTTTTTTTGTAGGAGTCCGATTTTCACATGACACCGGCGAAGCACGCAAGGAGTCGCTGGTGGCCGGCATAAATTGCATGAGCCTTTTGAGTCACTCACAATGGATACCAACTGAAAAGCATACGTTCGCTAGGATCTGGGGATCGTCGCGTGGTCGGCCTCTGGCATCGGTCGACGATCTGCATTATTTTTTAGTGGACCTTGTCAAGTCAATGACTTACAAATTCGAAAAATGCAATACCACAAAAAGTAAACTTCCCGTGTTTAATAATCTGTTACAATGAAAATGTTGTTTTTACAAACAAATGGACTGATAATGAAAGTTTGAAACTTTAGTGTAGGACTGTTTGCGGCGTGAAGCATTTGCGTGATTTATGCTGCGCCGGCGGCTTATCAACTCGGCACGTGGTGTCTGGTGGTTAGTTATTTTTTCTGCTGATAATGACGTAACTAATACCCCACTTAACATAATACCGCGGTTTAAGTGAATACCGCGGTTTTTTTGTCACTGGATACCGCGGTATAGTAAATGCAATACCGTCCCAAGGAAAAATTTAGAATTGCTTCCCGAATGTACGATCTGCTGCGCGGTATTCGGTTTCACTTTCATTGAGTGGATCCTGGAGAGACTAATATAGCCAGAGTCTGCCAGACTCTAAATTGCATGAATCCTAGGACTAACGAGAGGATTAATTGTGTTGCAACAATGGGGCTGATCGCAAATTTCCCAATGCCATAAGCGGTGGGGCTGGCAGCAACTACGCTAAAATATCGATGACGCAGGCTACGTATACAAAGCTTAAATATAATGGCTAAACAATGTAGGCCTATCTATAGTTTCATTATCCATGCTCTTCTGAAAAATTTGTTCTGAACAAACAAGCAAACACATTTCTGGCCTACCTTTTCACACGAGATGTGCTGAGCTAGTTGCCTTTTGAATACGACCGTGACATTCGGTAACTTGCAAGCAACTAGGCTGTCAAGTCTCTGTAAATGTCACCGTGTCTCCCTATTGCACAAAACGGTATTGCATGTCTCGGGGTTTCCCTGGTTTATTTATAGACCCCGACTGATATAACGCATGCAACGCATGCGCAGCAGAGCAGTTTGAATACTACGGAAGCCTAAAACGGTCATCTCCAGTGTGTTCTTCGTTGTTATAGTGAAAGACCGCAGGGGAAGCCCATTACAGTAACAATTACCCCATTTTATGTAAAATCGCAACATAGCTAGATTTTTTTCTCATTAATGTTACTTTTAGAGAAGCAGGACAAAGACAGAAAAATAGATATGGGAGGAGCTTTGAGAATAAAAATCTTTTCTTGTAGTAGTGGCGTAGCCAGGATTTATCAATGTTTATTAACATTTCATATGGCTGTACGGTTAAGGGAAGTCGAAAATAGCATCTTGGTTCTTCTTTGTCTTAATAAAAAAAAAACCTTTAAAAAGACACTTACTTGGCAGGCGGAAAATTTGGGTTTTTTGTGTGGGTACATGGGGGGGGGGCATTGGGATTTTTTTTTTTGGAGGGGGGCACATGTCCTGAGTCCTCCCCCCCCCCCCCCCGCTAAGCCACTGATTGTATGATTTCCATTCTCATCCGAACCGCCGCCCCCATTTTCTTTTTTGTGTAGCAATGCCTAATATCACTTTGCTGATGGCTTCAAAAACTTTCAGTTAAATATTATACGACCGTAATAATAAAAACAGTTGCTATGGGGACCCTGTGCATAATGGAAGTGTCTTGAAATATAGTCTGAAATTCAATAAATGGGTGTCCAGAGGGCAGAGGGCGCACTACTACCGTTGCAGTTACGTATCTTTTTAAAAGAATTTGAAAAGGAATCTATATATACCATTACTGTTTGCATTGACAAATTCAGTAAAAAAATAAAAAAATAAATGGAGACTTTTGTCAACCGGATTTTTTAAATTTTATTTGCAGCATGCATGGTATTTTAACCAATCACATCACGCACCCTAACATGAATACTTATCACACTGTGTGGATGGAAAACACTAAGGTTCTCGTAGTGTTTTTCATTCCATTAAACTTATCCCAACCAACACAAATATTTGATGAAAATGGACATGGGTTCGAGCCACAGATCTGGCAATCCATAGTTCATTCCACTATCTATTAGGCCACTGTGGCAGCTCCACGAAAGCCTTTCTTTGAAATACTGTAATGTACACGCATGACTGAGTGATAGCAATGGTGTGACGTCATTGTTGTTTTCTTAATATGAATAAACATCGAAATAACTGAATAATCATGATCCATTGACGACGTGTGCTGCACACTAAAACGCCGCAACCCAGAAGCTGTCCCCAATTAAAATCCAGTGGGGACAGCCGGTAAACTTCCTAAATATCAAGTGTCGACTGTAGATTGAAAAGTTTACGGTCCTCAGCGGTTAGTTTTAACAGGTATGCAACTGGGAAGTCACAAAAAAGAGGATATTCAAATCTTTCCAAGACTACAGTGTTATATTCTATTTTTAATGGCACACATGGGAAGCAAAAAAAGAAGAAGAAGAAAGCAGCTGATCCGAGGGAAAGTCGGTTGCATGCCTGTTTTATAGGGCCGACGGGGTCGGCAAATTTGTTGTCATCTCCCAATCTAATCGGCGTCTCTACACCCCTGCCTCACTGTCCACTCATATGAGCTTATCGTACAAACATTCAAATCTCAACGTCATCTATTATTTTGCACTTTACCCCCATAGTCACATTCAATTTTAATTTTGTGGAAAATTATCAAGTGATCTTCTGATTTCGTTTTTGACCAAATGTGTATTCATTTCCTTATGACATGCAGCAAGAACCACAAATGCAGGCAATCAGAGAGAACCACTCTATACACACTCTTATAGTAGGTCTACTTACACGTGACCTTCAACACTTACCTCTAGCTGTGTAAGACAATCACTGGTGGCAGCAAACATAAAATGATCCGAAGACGTGTGCCAGTCAAAACTGCGCAACATAACATGACATCATAGTCTGGTTCCCAGACCTGACAATTATTCCCGACGCTAACGTCTAAATTGTAGGTCGGACAGTCACCGCGGCTAAAAATAATCATGACGACAATGACGGTCCTTTTTCAAGGCTCGGTTTCGTTTCCGAATTCGCTGTATCACTTAGAGTGGGGCTGTTATAAACTTGACGTCGAATGCGTACATTGTACGTGGTGAGGGATGTAGGTGCATAGTGTATCGGACTGTTCAGCAGCAAATAAAAAAGAACACAATGCATACATGTACATGTACATTCGATATCTGGGGTGCAATATAGCTGTGCAGTATTATATCAAATCACACTGTTGTTGCTATAGATGGACTAATCAGGGTCTAGGATTCAAGTTTGCTTGAAGATAATACTCAATATCGCAATCAAAGTTACCTTACTCATTCATCACTGCGCTTCTTGAAATGTAATGAGTCTCACAGACTTGACAATTTTTTCCTTCGAGATAAATTTCACCTGGATGTGTGTCCGCTGTACTGGGTCCCGGTAGTAAGCATAGAGCTGTTGCGTACCCTAAATAGTAACTGCTGATGACGATCGACTCTCAAGCATTCGACGTCAAGTTTGCTTGAAGATAAAATAGTTAGCTGGTTCTGCACAGAGAGAGTCGGAATACGTGCTTTTCCCCACCCATTGCATTTATCGATCTAAAGCCGTGTCCGCACTTGCCTTTTTTTGGAAGGTTTTACCGAGACGATGGTGAGATGAAAAATGGTCAAACACCCTTTTAAAAGAATCTGATTGGCCATCTAAATCCACGCTCGGAACATTTTTTTTTCATTCATGTTTCGGTTCGATTGGTCTGTTAGTTATTCATCGGTACCGACGTTCAAAGGGAAGGGACTCGCCTGAATATGCCGAGTCGTCCAGATAAAAATCCAGAAAAGAAAATACTCCAAAAGAAAGCGTAATACAAGAACCATGATTTCTCACCGTGGGAAAACCCCCGTAATGCCCGCACGATCACACGTAAAGCTACGCCCGTCCTGCTGGGCCCACAAGCACAATTGCACGTGCTTTTTCCCACGCACTGTGTAGATCAAGCTGATTGGCCATCTAAAACGGTGCTCGAAACATTTTCCATTCATGTTTTGGAATGATTGGTCCGTTCGTTAAGAAGGTCGCGGCACCGACAACTTCATATTACAGCGTCCACAATTGCGCATGCGTAATATTGTGATGTTCACTATTATCAATCACGGACCGATCACGTGAGAATGAGTACGATTTTTTTTTGTAGGAGTCCGATTTTCACATGACACCGGCGAAGCACGCAAGGAGTCGCTGGTGGCCGGCATAAATTGCATGAGCCTTTTGAGTCACTCACAATGGATACCAACTGAAAAGCATACGTTCGCTAGGATCTGGGGATCGTCGCGTGGTCGGCCTCTGGCATCGGTCGACGATCTGCATTATTTTTTAGTGGACCTTGTCAAGTCAATGACTTACAAATTCGAAAAATGCAATACCACAAAAAGTAAACTTCCCGTGTTTAATAATCTGTTACAATGAAAATGTTGTTTTTACAAACAAATGGACTGATAATGAAAGTTTGAAACTTTAGTGTAGGACTGTTTGCGGCGTGAAGCATTTGCGTGATTTATGCTGCGCCGGCGGCTTATCAACTCGGCACGTGGTGTCTGGTGGTTAGTTATTTTTTTCTGCTGATAATGACGTAACTAATACCCCACTTAACATAATACCGCGGTTTAAGTGAATACCGCGGTTTTTTTGTCACTGGATACCGCGGTATAGTAAATGCAATACCGTCCCAAGGAAAAATTTAGAATTGCTTCCCGAATGTACGATCTGCTGCGCGGTATTCGGTTTCACTTTCATTGAGTGGATCCTGGAGAGACTAATATAGCCAGAGTCTGCCAGACTCTAAATTGCATGAATCCTAGGACTAACGAGAGGATTAATTGTGTTGCAACAATGGGGCTGATCGCAAATTTCCCAATGCCATAAGCGGTGGGGCTGGCAGCAACTACGCTAAAATATCGATGACGCAGGCTACGTATACAAAGCTTAAATATAATGGCTAAACAATGTAGGCCTATCTATAGTTTCATTATCCATGCTCTTCTGAAAAATTTGTTCTGAACAAACAAGCAAACACATTTCTGGCCTACCTTTTCACACGAGATGTGCTGAGCTAGTTGCCTTTTGAATACGACCGTGACATTCGGTAACTTGCAAGCAACTAGGCTGTCAAGTCTCTGTAAATGTCACCGTGTCTCCCTATTGCACAAAACGGTATTGCATGTCTCGGGGTTTCCCTGGTTTATTTATAGACCCCGACTGATATAACGCATGCAACGCATGCGCAGCAGAGCAGTTTGAATACTACGGAAGCCTAAAACGGTCATCTCCAGTGTGTTCTTCGTTGTTATAGTGAAAGACCGCAGGGGAAGCCCATTACAGTAACAATTACCCCATTTTATGTAAAATCGCAACATAGCTAGATTTTTTTCTCATTAATGTTACTTTTAGAGAAGCAGGACAAAGACAGAAAAATAGATATGGGAGGAGCTTTGAGAATAAAAATCTTTTCTTGTAGTAGTGGCGTAGCCAGGATTTATCAATGTTTATTAACATTTCATATGGCTGTACGGTTAAGGGAAGTCGAAAATAGCATCTTGGTTCTTCTTTGTCTTAATAAAAAAAAAACCTTTAAAAAGACACTTACTTGGCAGGCGGAAAATTTGGGTTTTTTGTGTGGGTACATGGGGGGGGGGCATTGGGATTTTTTTTTTTGGAGGGGGGCACATGTCCTGAGTCCTCCCCCCCCCCCCCCCCCCGCTAAGCCACTGATTGTATGATTTCCATTCTCATCCGAACCGCCGCCCCCATTTTCTTTTTTGTGTAGCAATGCCTAATATCACTTTGCTGATGGCTTCAAAAACTTTCAGTTAAATATTATACGACCGTAATAATAAAAACAGTTGCTATGGGGACCCTGTGCATAATGGAAGTGTCTTGAAATATAGTCTGAAATTCAATAAATGGGTGTCCAGAGGGCAGAGGGCGCACTACTACCGTTGCAGTTACGTATCTTTTTAAAAGAATTTGAAAAGGAATCTATATATACCATTACTGTTTGCATTGACAAATTCAGTAAAAAAATAAAAAAATAAATGGAGACTTTTGTCAACCGGATTTTTTAAATTTTATTTGCAGCATGCATGGTATTTTAACCAATCACATCACGCACCCTAACATGAATACTTATCACACTGTGTGGATGGAAAACACTAAGGTTCTCGTAGTGTTTTTCATTCCATTAAACTTATCCCAACCAACACAAATATTTGATGAAAATGGACATGGGTTCGAGCCACAGATCTGGCAATCCATAGTTCATTCCACTATCTATTAGGCCACTGTGGCAGCTCCACGAAAGCCTTTCTTTGAAATACTGTAATGTACACGCATGACTGAGTGATAGCAATGGTGTGACGTCATTGTTGTTTTCTTAATATGAATAAACATCGAAATAACTGAATAATCATGATCCATTGACGACGTGTGCTGCACACTAAAACGCCGCAACCCAGAAGCTGTCCCCAATTAAAATCCAGTGGGGACAGCCGGTAAACTTCCTAAATATCAAGTGTCGACTGTAGATTGAAAAGTTTACGGTCCTCAGCGGTTAGTTTTAACAGGTATGCAACTGGGAAGTCACAAAAAAGAGGATATTCAAATCTTTCCAAGACTACAGTGTTATATTCTATTTTTAATGGCACACATGGGAAGCAAAAAAAGAAGAAGAAGAAAGCAGCTGATCCGAGGGAAAGTCGGTTGCATGCCTGTTTTATAGGGCCGACGGGGTCGGCAAATTTGTTGTCATCTCCCAATCTAATCGGCGTCTCTACACCCCTGCCTCACTGTCCACTCATATGAGCTTATCGTACAAACATTCAAATCTCAACGTCATCTATTATTTTGCACTTTACCCCCATAGTCACATTCAATTTTAATTTTGTGGAAAATTATCAAGTGATCTTCTGATTTCGTTTTTGACCAAATGTGTATTCATTTCCTTATGACATGCAGCAAGAACCACAAATGCAGGCAATCAGAGAGAACCACTCTATACACACTCTTATAGTAGGTCTACTTACACGTGACCTTCAACACTTACCTCTAGCTGTGTAAGACAATCACTGGTGGCAGCAAACATAAAATGATCCGAAGACGTGTGCCAGTCAAAACTGCGCAACATAACATGACATCATAGTCTGGTTCCCAGACCTGACAATTATTCCCGACGCTAACGTCTAAATTGTAGGTCGGGCAGTCACCGCGGCTAAAAATAATCATGACGACAATGACGGTCCTTTTTCAAGGCTCGGTTTCGTTTCCGAATTCGCTGTATCACTTAGAGTGGGGCTGTTATAAACTTGACGTCGAATGCGTACATTGTACGTGGTGAGGGATGTAGGTGCATAGTGTATCGGACTGTTCAGCAGCAAATAAAAAAGAACACAATGCATACATGTACATGTACATTCGATATCTGGGGTGCAATATAGCTGTGCAGTATTATATCAAATCACACTGTTGTTGCTATAGATGGACTAATCAGGGTCTAGGATTCAAGTTTGCTTGAAGATAATACTCAATATCGCAATCAAAGTTACCTTACTCATTCATCACTGCGCTTCTTGAAATGTAATGAGTCTCACAGACTTGACAATTTTTTCCTTCGAGATAAATTTCACCTGGATGTGTGTCCGCTGTACTGGGTCCCGGTAGTAAGCATAGAGCTGTTGCGTACCCTAAATAGTAACTGCTGATGACGATCGACTCTCAAGCATTCGACGTCAAGTTTGCTTGAAGATAAAATAGTTAGCCCACTTGCGCTCGTGGAACACGGAATAATGTAGTGCGTCGGGTGGCATATGGGTCACACAGCAGCATTGCATTGATATATTCATATTCCAAGCGCGCTCGTGGGATAACTAATTAGCAGTGGCATCCCGGGGTGGGTATTTTTTTGTTCAATCTTCTACAGAAATTCGAAAACAAACAAATTATGAGCCCCCCCCCCCCCACACACACACACACAAACAAATTCCTGGGTACGCTACTGCTGATAATTTATATTATGAGTCTGGTTTGACCTCATCATGAGAAATTCCCAACCCAAGATTAATTTAAGTACCTTTAGAAACAGAATAGTAAGTTGTGTGGGTGGAGGAAGACATGCTCTATCAAGTCATTTTATTTTCGTTGATTTTCGGAATGATACATAAGTACATAAATTGGGTCAAAGGTCACGATAACATATTAAAGGTCACGTGACCTACTTTTCACAAAAAAAATGACTGCTTCACAGTCTTGAAGACCTAAAGACCAAAACGGCAACATTTAAATCTTTAAATCTTTAAATCTTAAAATGTCCTTCAAGTGAGATACATCATTTTACCAAAATAGGGCCGCAGGGTTCACACAACTCTTCCAGAGCTAAACCTAAGCATGTTCTTTGTGAAAAGTAAAGGGTTGGTGACAGTCTACGTTACAAATAATAATAGGCAGTATGCACACGATTAACAGTCTCTAACTTCAAAATATTGGAATTTTCCGAAAGTATAGCCGCTACAAATATCAAGACTTACCACGTAAAACTTCAATTTACCAGTTCATTAAAAGCTGTACTTACTATGCAATTTTACATTATGAATATTATTAATGAGTTCTTGATTAAACATTTTCAGTTACAAACAGTAGACAGCATCACTTTACAAATAGCGCATAAGGTAACCTAAATGTTGTATTATACATCTTTTGGTTGCAAATTTTTGCCAGTCGGTCTCATGAAGAATTATATTTTAAACAAAAAAACGAAGATGCACATTTGTAATTACATGTATACCGTGGTTTTTCCTGTTCTTGAAAGCTACAAGATAATGTACAAGCTAGAGCGTGGAGAACTATCTTCCTTTCTCCCAAGGGATTTTACTCCACTGAACGTCAACTGCAGTCCCATGTAAGTAAAACGTTATCATACTATTGCTGTACGTGGACTTTTGATTCCGGATTTCAGAATAATTATTGTTTCCTGTGAAACATCCCCCACAGTACCTGGATAAGCCACTGGTCTCCGGCCATCTCTAGTAATCGTCTCCCAGACGATGGTGATCTTCGCAATCGGCTAGAAGGCTTCCGCATTCTCCCCACCTGTAGCCCAATTTCTTTTCGCATCTCATTCCCAGTTTGAATGACTCCCTTGCTCTTCTATGCTGGCCGAGTAAGCACTGACATCGTCCGCGGACATTGTAAAGTTGGTCCCGTTCGTTGCCTCTCTGGCAGTTCTCTGAAATGAAACAGTTGTGCAGAGCCTTTGTGAGGTACTCTTGTCTTGTTGCTGAGTCGATGGGGATCTTAGCCATTTGTAGGCACACATCAGCCAGCATCGCATAATCCAATGGCGATTCGTGCTTCGTAAGGATGTACTCCAAGTCGTCTTTGGCTTGATCAAGGTGTCTCCGATCGGGAGCATCTGCGCTGACGGCACGTTTGTGTTCCTTGAGGCAGAGTTCGGCCCTGCTTGAGTACGCGAAGAAATTCTCTTTGGTGCTTGGTAGAAGAATGGACTCCTCGTATAGCCTCAGTGCTTCTTCCACATCACCGGCTTGGCTACGAAAACGAGCAAGATAATTAAGAACCTGCGGGGAATCTGGTACTATTTCCCTCGCCTTGCGTACGCATCTTTCCGGATCGTCGATAAATTCCGACAGAGATTCTGGTACGTCTCCTATCGGTACATTCCATTTCGATACCCAGGAGAATAATACACCAATATGAACCCAGGCCGAGCTTTTCATGTTGACATCCGTAGATGGATGTTCCGCTATGGTCCAAAAGCTCCAGACAGCATTATTCATAGCTTGACAGGCCTCGTCGTGTGTCTCAATTGTCTTCATTGTTTTCCGTAACATTTCGTAGCTGGCTTCTCCAGCCAGGTACTTCCAATCATTGCTCTCGTCTAGATCGACGAGGTGACCCGCCAGCTCCATCGCCTGATTGCAAAGCTCGAGCACTCTGCTGGATCGCTCATAATAGATAGCATCGTTGTTCTTTTCGTCAATGAGGGCAAAGGCTTGTTCGGCGTATCTCCTGGCCTGTGCCCTCTTGCCTTCTTTTGTAGATAAATCAGGCTCGTCAGGAGCAGCCACGGGAATTCCACCTCTGGACGTAGACATCACAAAATGACGGTTGGCCATGGCGTTCAGGTTGTCTGGGTCTTCTCCCGGAGAGAGGATGTGATTGAAGTAATCCAAGGCGCCCTGACGGTCGTTTTCTTGCCTGTAAGCGAGCACGCCTAGAAGGTTACGAATGGCGTGACGTTCCGCTTTCATCCTCTTCTCCTCCAAGTAGGCCAAGAGATGACCACGTTTGAAGTCGGCAGTAATATCAGTGAGTCGACTTCGGTTACAAAGCAAAGACAGATGGAAATGTCCAACAGGCGTAGCCAAAGTGCGCCGGGATGCCCTGAGAAAATAGATTTTAAATATCAATAGCTGAATTCTGCCTTAGATAATTATATAAGTTTGAGACTTCGGTTATACCTCAAGTCAACACAAACGTTATTAACGGAATTGAAATACTTCCTTTGGAATTTAAATACACCCAATGACTCAATCTGTCTATCCTTGCCATTGGATGAACGCAGTTTGATATTCATATTGTTCGATGAAACTTACAAACCAAGGTTTCATTAAAACACCAAATACATGTATTTCATTACAAACATTAACGCCGAATTGCGAACTTCATTGCCAGTTAAAACGATTTCTCACACTTACATGTTTGCTTTTATTCAAGGAATTATGTGTTTGCTCATCCAAGCCACAACAGTGTGGAGCAACTGACAACACACTGCATCCGTTAGAGCTTATAATGAAAAGCAAGGAAAACATGGGCTATATATATATGTGTTTCCGGTGTCCGAGCATCCACAGGATATTTCTCATTCGGATACGGGGCCTCCCCATCATTGATTTCATCATACTCTGCTCGTTGAAAATGTGTCAATATTTATAAAAAAAAAGACGTTGGCTAGTCTGCCGTTGTCCAGCAACCATACGACATTTAACGTGGCTTCCCATCATTGATTTCATCATTCTCTGCACGTTAAAAATGTGTTAGTTTAATATTGACGTTGCTCGAATGTTCCGTACGATCTTGTACGCAAGCCACATGATGGCTATGAGCCAGTGCCCTTAGTTTGGAATCGCGGTGTAGCCAGCATTCTCACCATAGGGGTGAGAGCTGGGCAATTTCTGTCTTTTGTGCAAATATCCATTTCCTATGGTGGCTTTAAAGGGACATCGCACATATACATTGACGCCAATATTGACGCCAATATTCACGACATGGACCCAAGTCGCAAATATTTGCGCCAATATTGACGCCAATATTCACGACATGAACCCGAGTCGCAAATATTGACGCCAATATTGACGCCAATATTCACGACATGGACCCAAGTCGCAAATATTGACACCAATATTGACGCCAATATTCACGACATGGTCTCCAAGTCGCAAATATTGACGCAAATATTCACGACATGAACCAAAGTCGCAAATATTGACGCCAATATTGACGCAAATATTCACGACATGGTGTCTATGTCGCAAATATTGACGCCAATATTCACGACAGGGTCTCCATGTCGCAAATATTGACGCCAATATTGACGCCAATATTCACGACATGGTTGCCATGTCGCAAATATCTGCGCCAATATTGACGCCAATATTCACGACAGGCCCAAGTTGTAAACCCACTCATGCGTGATTTTTTTTCACAACAACTTGACCTGGCTCAAGATAGCCGCGGATTCGGCCGGATTTCTAGCCGCGTATTCAACTGCGTATTCAGCCGTGCATTCACCAAAAGTCAAAAAATCTGTACTACATGCTGCAAAAGGTGATCTATTTTCCAGATAGATAACTTACTTTATTTAACGAATTTTTTCAAAATAAATGACAATTATCAATAATGTTTTCACGCTGTATCAAAATTCACAAAATAAGCAACCATTTCAGAACGATTTTTAAGATGTTGATGCAATAATAACTTATAAATTAGCTGCTTAATGGGAATAATCAAATTTCATGTAATTTGAAAATGTATGAGAAACTTATTATTATTTAAAGGTCTACAAGATGCCAGCATGAAGAGGCCGTCTATTCGCTCGTGCCTGCATGGTGCACTTTGATAGGGAAGTGTTGACGGGCGAAACTGTCTACATTTTAGATTTAAATGAATTTCTACAACTTACAATTTCAAGTTTGCGACGGTTCCAGTGAGGGCCTCAATCGGATCCTCCTCCGCCGTGATGCTGGCTCCCGTGAATCCTTCCGTTGTCGTGTCCATCGTGTCTGCTTGCATGACCTCAAAAGTAAACGCACCCTCTAGATGTGAAAGTGTGTGAAAATCACTGTCAGGTGTGGGGAAAAGGCGTAATTTGTTGCTATTTTGTAGTTTAGAATTTCAAATGGAAATGAAAGTGCGCTCTGCCCGTCTTTCAGGATCCCTTCTGGTTTGATTGAGGGAATGTCTTTATAATAAGTTTGGCCCAGACGTTTCAAAATGTTCATTAAAGCAATTCTTACAAAAGGTGGTAGGCCTATTGAAAAAGGTAATTTTTTTAAATGTTGAATATTAAAATTGTTTTAAATATTTCCTAAAAAATATATGGTATTTTTGGAAAATATACAATTCCGAAGTATAATTCGTTTCTAAAAGTCACCTTATTCATGTTATTAAAAGTAAGTATTTACTATAAGCTAGATCTGACGATGATGACAATTAATCGCGTCTGTGAACTTAATTAGCAGCAAGGATATTTTCCATGTTATGTAACAAAGATTAATGCCAATAAAAAGGCATCCCTAGGTTCCGGAGGGAATGATCACGATGTTTAAGATGGTGTTTTCGACAAATCAATCTGCTACAGTGATGCGCATTGCGATACACATTTAGCTGTTACTTGTTATAGTCCAGCGGATGTGAACAAAAAATGTGCACTTTTGCATAAAAGCATGAAACTTGGCACAGATGTTTATATTCATGCGAGAAAATGTTTTAGATGTAGAGCCATTGCAAATTTACCCTTTTAGGGGCGTGGCATCAATTTAAAAAGGGGGGCGGGACTTGTCGTGTCTGCAGTGAAAACGGTTGTTCCCACTTCACGAAGACATAATTATATAGATTGTAAGTGTTTTCCAGACTCGAAGCCACCACAAAAGTACATTTTGGGGGGCGTGACAGCTATTTAAAAAAGAGGGGGGGTAATTATTATGCCCAGCTTAGAAAAAATTGTGCCCATATTTCATGAAAAAATAAAACGTCCCACAGACGTTTATATTCATGAGAAAAAAATCCAGATGTGGTGCAATCTCGAACACACACACCCTTTTAAGGGTGTGGCAACCATATTAGAAAAAAGGGGCCGGGTTTTCATTATGCCCACCTTGGAAATATTGTTCCCACATTCATAGAGAAATGGAACTTTCCACAGACATTGACATTCATGAGAAAATAAATTCAAGATGTGGAGCCATCGCGAACACACCCTTTTAGGTGCGAGAAAATGTGCCCACATCTCATAAACGAATGAAGCTAATTCCCACAGCCATTTACATTCACGAGAAAAAAATTCAGACGTGGAGTTATCGCAAAGTTGTGCCTACCTTTCATAAACGGATTAAACTCAACACGGACAATATATTCGTGAAAATCTTTCTTTTTTCGAATGTGAAACAATCACAAACCTACCCTTTTAGAGGTGCGGCATCCAAATATCCATTTTCAAAATGGGGGGGGGGGTACTCAATATGCCCACCTTGGGCAATTTTGATCGCTTTTCATATAATAAAATCCACCTCAGATAGCTCTACTAATGTGTTGGAGTAGGGCCGCCTTAATAGTTCGAAGTGACTGTTGGCAAACCCTGTTTTTCTTACACTATGCATTCTTGCCTCATCTATATTAACCCAGTTACTGGTTCTGTCGTCTGTAGAATTATTGTTAACCTCTCAACTGCAGCAATTTCTGAATTGGGGTATAAACTGGGGTACCTCAGTTAGTCTTGGAAAGACTAGTGTTACTTCTTCAAATATATTGTGTTTCCCATGCCTTTTTTGTGACAGACCCAAAGGCATATGCAGTGTCGCAGTGTATGCAGTTTGTAATGGATTTGGTGGGGGTAAACAAAACACTCATCAGAGCTTGATATACAATTTCTAAGGGAACGGAGGGGTTGTAGGGTTGGGGTACAAAGATTCATTGAATGTGAAGTCATAGTGGACGAGACCACCACGGTGAGGAGAGTACATTGTGTTGCGACCCAACCTGCTGTCAATGTGGCGCAACGGGTAGGGGGTAGGGGTATTTTGCGCACCCCCCCCCCCCCCCCCACACACACACACACACACACACCAGGAGAAAAAGAGAACAGACATCGAAAAAAATGGAATGGAAGTCAATATTTTACTTCACATTTAACGTATACCGGTACATGTATTGAAGACTATTGAAATGGCCATGAAATGTGGTTGTTTTAAACAGCGCCCAAAGCGTCATATGACAACCCACCCCACCCCCTCCCCACCGCTGTGAAAAAAATTTCCTTGGCCCTTATATGTAAAATGTTAGAGTTTAGGGCTGCCATTGTGTGCTGTGTATTTATAATTATATAAAATCACTCTTGAATTTAGATGTGCATGAAAATATAAGTACAAGTACACACGTTGAACCCAATAACTGGTTAGCCTACCGGTACTTACTTACCCATGCCCTTTGGTGTAAGTCATTGTATTACCAAATAATGTCATATAGGTTATGGGCCAATCAACATTTTCAGAAATCAACAACAAAATATAAAAATTGCAATTGTGGGCATAGTGAGTAGGCCCCTCACGCCTCTAAAAGGATGAGTTTGCTGTGGCTCCATATTTGAATTTATTTTCTTTCACCAAGTTTGTGTGAAAGGTAGGCACAAGTTTCGATGGTGAGCAAATGATTAGTAGCACCCCCCCCCCATTTTACTATGGCTGTCACGCCCCTAAAAGGGTGTGTTTGCGATCGTAACGTCTGAATTTTTTTCTCTTGAATATTAAGTGGGAATTAGCTTCATCCGTTTATGAGATGTGGGCACATTTTCCCATGGTGGGCATAATGAGAACCGCGCCCCCTGTTTTTCAATATGGCTGCCACACCCCTAAAAGAGTGTGTTCTCGATGGCTCCACATCTTGAATTTGTTTTCTCATGAATATCAATATCTGTGGAAAGTTCTATTCCTCTGTAAATGTGGGAACAAAATTTACATAGTGGGCATAACGAAAACCCCGCGCCTTTTTGTCCTAGTATGTTTGCCACGCCCCTAAAAGTGTGTGTTCGAAATTGTTCCACATCTAGATTTTTTTCTCATGAACATAAACGTCTGTGGGACGTTTTATTCGTTCATGAAATATGGGCACAATTTTTTCCCAAGGTGGGCATCATAAATAAATCAATAAAAAAAAAAAAAAAAAAAATAGCTCCCACTCCCCCCCAAAGGTACTTTTGTGGTGGCTCCGAATCTTGAAAACACTTATAATCAATACAATTATGTCTTTGTGAAGTTTCCTGCTTTTGTAACAAGTGGGAACAACCGTTTACACTGCGGGCACGACAAGTCCCGCCCCTTTTTTTAAATGGATGCCACGCCCCTGAAAGGTAAATTTGCGATGGCTCCTCATCTCAAACATTTTCTGGCATGAATATGAACAGCTGTGCCAAGTTTCACGCTGTTATGCAAAAGTGCACAATTCATCGATATTAACATATCCGCTAGACTATTAGTTCATGAATATGACTTATGAAGACGTGATAAACCCGAATACAACATTGTGATAATGTCCTTGAATTGTGATCATTTCACTTTGAACTGAACTATTTCTGTATAGGCACTCTTTGCGTTGCCTGTCCCTTGAAGCATTTTTGCAATATCTTTCCTTAAAGCCGGACTCCATCATTTGCAGCTATCCAAAAAAGTAACTGGCGTAATTATTGTTGAAAAACATACTGGTTGAAAGATAGTAAGGAGACTAAACACCCTGTGAAATTATTCTTTCTGGCAAGTTCTCATTTTGAAGAAATCAACAAAAGAAGGCATTTCCAACGGTGCATCTTAAGAAGCACCGTAGGAGAATTTAAATTAGTAGTTCGTTTTGGCGCAGCGCGCGCAAGCATTGGCACGACGCACAGGCGCGCGCGGTTGCTATAATTCGTCGGATCAGTGCGCGACATCGCGTAAAGCTGCAATTCAAAACAATTCAAAACATGATGCTGTTTTTCTCGGAATATACAGCTGAAGCTGAGCTGAAACTTCATCAGGTTAGTTGTTCAATATCCTTCATTATAGATTTTAAACACTTTTGTTGCTTCAAACGAACAAAATGCACAAAATTACAACTGATGGACTATATCTTTAAACACTTTGCCAAATGTAGTTGTACTACAGATTGAACAGACACTGAATTCGTGCAAATTCTAATTCTTGCTAATACATTTTAGACGTGCCGTGAACAAGTATTTTATAATAGTTCAAATATAGCCAGAAAGCTATAAATTAAGAAGATGTATAAGGAGACAGTTTTTGATTAATATTTTTTGCGTCAACCAAAATGTATTTTTTTGCACAATGCGGGGTGGGGGTGGGGGTGGGGGTGATCGGATTTGTTGAGTAAGCCCTTCACCACATTAGGGAACACTGCCCTATTTTTTGCCCGATCTCCTGACTCGAATGCAGTTTTACCAAGGGAAAACATCACTTCGGATATTTTTTTTCAGTCTCACCGCCAGCCTCAACCAATCCTCCGGGAAGGATATGAACACCCTGCCCCATTTCTTAAACTAGGGATGGGCCATTGGGTAACACACCCCCGCGATGTTTGTGGTGAGGAACAAGAAAGGCCGGAGGTATTAAATAGAAATGCAAAACGGAGAGAGAACACCACAAAAGCTTTAAATGAACTCTCTTGACGTAAAGTGCTCTGGTTCGCATAAGATGTACACTGTATCATGAATAGCGGCCTCACATTGCCACGTGGTGTTGAGCTGTCCCCCCCCCCTCCCTGCTTTTCGAATTCCGTCGGCTGGTTTTTTTTTTAGGATGTTGGTCACCCTCAATCCCCCCTCAATCGCTGGCACAGATTTATGCTACTGAACATCTACCTGTTGTCGTATGCAATATCTCCAGTTTTTCTGCTGATCTCTCTGCAGATTGTTCAGCTGGATCACTACTATAACCCGTCTTTGCTGGGCTGCTTTCTCCAAGTTCTTTGTGCTCTACATCCATCATGCCGCTCGAGTCCTCTTCATCTGTTAAAAAAAGTAATAGGCCTATCTGACAAGAGAGACGTTACGTTTCAACCAAAAACATTTGAAAAAGAAGACTAGTTATTACAAGAAACTCCTTTTCAGTCAAATCTCTAGGCAATGATAAATAAATTGAGGTATCCAGGTGCGATTTAAACAATTTCCCGATTTGTCTACAGTCATGTCATCTACACGTACATGTACATGATGTACATGTACACGTATTATTCAGCTACCTTTCTGCTGGTCTTTTTCCAATTCATCAAAGAATCCGCAGGCCTGATCGTAATAGTTTTCCGGTATAGTCGCCTGGATAGCCAAGTCACTCTTATCCTCTGTTGTTAGTTCTTCCGTGATAAGAATCTCTGTCAGTTTCTTGCCAAGTTCTCCAGTGGTGTACATCCTCCAGAGTTTATCCAGACCCTCCCGACTCATTATACGAACAACAAATGTCCCAGACCCAGGGTTTCCTTGTTCAAGCACTCCGTCACATGATTCTAGGACAGCTGAGACTTGATGACGTCTATAATCCTGTCCCTCCCAATCGTTTGAGTCGGCAATGTCCATCCTGAGATTACCAGTAGCCCGAGCGGTCTCCGTCCCCTTCAATGATGCATCCGTCTCTACTGACACTGTTGGAAATTCTGAAAAACGAAAGACAACGTGATAGAATGAAGAGCAATTCGTAGAGATCATTTTCCTGTGACAGTCACATCAGTGTTTTTCATAGGACAGGGATATTTCCTCCCCATCCTCCGGAATTTACGACCATGCAAATGGGAGTCTCATAAACAAAAAAAGTATGTTTATTATTCTTGTAATAACTGACACAAGAGAAACCTTGCGTTTCAAACACACACACACACACACAAAACCAATGAAAAAGAAAGTTCGAGTTCGAGTTAAACAATTTCCCCGATGTTCTACAGTGATGTCATCTACATGTAGGGCCTACATGTACATGTATTATTCAGATATACCTTTCCGCTGGTTTTTCAATTCATCAAAGAATCCGCAGGCTTGATCGTAATCGTTTTTCGGTATAGTCGCCTGGATATCCCGGATACTCTTATCCTCTGTTGTCAGTTCCTCCGTAATGAGAAGCTCTGTCAGTTTCTTTGCGAGTTCTCCGCTGGTGTACATCCTCCAGAGTTTGTCCAGACCCTCCCGACTCATGATGCGTACAACAAATGTCACAGACCCTTGGTTTACTTGCTCAAGCACTCCGTCACATGATTCTATGATAGCTGCGACCTGGTGACGTGGTCCATCCCAATTACCAGTAGCGCGAGCGGTCTTCGTCTCCTTCCATGGCGCGTTTGTCTTTATTAACAATGTTGGAAAGTCTGGGGAAAAAAAACAAAGAATAAAGAGAAACCTCAGAATGAAGAACAATTCAATGTCACATTGGCTATTTAAAATACATATAATTATCACGTTCAATATATATTACGTTTTTTTATGGGTCCACGAGTCTGAAACTGAAATAAGAGTCTTTGGGCAATTGATTTGGCTTGTAGGTTTAGGAGTCCACTACTTTAATATTCATTTGGGCTTAATCAAAATATCGAACAATTTATACATTAATACAATTGTGTTACTACATTATTACTTTACAATTTCGAAATTTTGGTAACAACACAATAATTTCTTCCTCGCTTGTTCCCACCTCACAATCAATTTCGGTAATGTACGGACCGAGAGCCAGTTTGCTCGCAAAGCGGATCTGTTTGTGCTCAAAACAAAATACTATTTCAGAGGGTTGCAGACGTCCCCCACCCACCAAATAACACGTTGAAAATGTATATAAAAATATGAAAATGTAAGAAAAAAGAAAATATAAATTCTTAAAAAGCACAGGGAACACAACTTTAAAGTTTGTGTTGCTGTCTTTAGGAAGAGCTTTAGCAGTCAAGAAATCACAAATTACACCAGATTTAGTAGTCTCCAGGAATCTTGGATAGTAAGTACCAAATGAAAAAAATCACAAAATAAGGATTTAAAAAAAAATCAATTACAATGTTGCTTTCTATTCTTCGTTACTGTTTTCAAAAGAGAAACATTAAATGATTTGTTGCCGTTTCATTGACATTAGAACATACAATCATAGACATGCAACCGCTTTTAAAAGTAGAGAAAACGGTCTATTTTTACACATTTTTGCAATATTATTGAGTACATGTATTCAATATGTGCAAGTAACGTCTTTCTTTTATTCCTGTTTACATTACCAATATAATTCGCAGAGACATGTATTTACCTTTCAGAAAATCTGCAATATCTGTTCTTCTGATGTTCTTCAATGCTGCGCCCAACGTTGTAATCTGCTGTTCAACACTGATGGACTGATCATGTTTCCATGTCTCAAGCATTTCAAGACCTTGCCTTTTGGTCTCCTGTGGGTAGTTTGTCTCGATAGTCTTAACCTGTGTCAAGGTAAAGTCCAGCTGAAGTGCCAGTGTTACCCATCCATCACCAAGTCTCGAAGCGACATCGGACAGAATTTTGTCATTTATACATGATTCTGCAAATTGATAGAAATAGGTCAAGTGATTTACACATGTACATTACATGAATAAATATTTGAGGCACACAATTAAGATTGGGCATATTTTGCCAATTACTGACTTTTATAACAAGTGTTAATGAAACCCAAAAGCAGAACTAATTACACAAACTGCCGTTGAGCCGACCTCAGGTCGACCTTGCGCGAACACAAAACAGTGGGCGACTGCGTTTTTAGGTTCAAGCTGCGCCTGAGTTACGACCGTCAAGAACATTTCAGTAGACGATGTTTTGCGACCTGAGTGTAATATCTGTGACGATATAAAGACTATTTGCATCGTAGCCGCTCAAATAAAATAGTAGACAAATTCGACCTTTGTGAAGTTACAGCATCGTGCGTACATCGTCGTTGCGTCGTGGGTAAGATGAGCGTGGTTGCGTTTGTGTCGAGATGCCGCTTGTTTCAATAAGGGAATAAATGTGTGCTCTGGAGGTTTTTATCACTCGTTTAATACCGCTTAGAGTCTGGGTGCTGATAATTACCCGAGCCGGAGGCGAGGGTAATTATCAGCACCCAGACTCTAAGCGGTATTAAACGAGTGATAAATACCGACCAAGCACATATTTATTCCCATTCATAAATACCTTATCCGTAAAAAAAATTCAAATAATTCGTTCAAAAAATCCCGATTTTGTTCAACAAGTTCACTTCATGCTTTTTGAAACATCCCTCTAGCAAAATAATGGAGTGTTGAGCTGGCGAGTAAGATGTAAACAACCCTTTTATGGAGATTGACGCGCGCGTAACATGTTCTGCGCGATGTCACGCAGAACGCACCTGGGGCGTTGCGTTTTGAATTTAGAACTATAAAATTCTGACTCGCTTGTAGTGTTGCGCATGCCTACGTGAGGATTGTGAACGTTCAACCAATGAAACGGTAAGAGGCACTGGATTTTTAGGAGTCCACATTTTATTGTGACACTGGAAAAGTGTTTAAGACCAGCTAGCCATGTCTTTATCATCCGTTTAATACCGGCCACGTGACGGGCTCTCGACCAATAGGAATAGCTAAACTGTCTGAGGTATTTATGAATAGACTATACATGTACATGGAACGGTTGCTTGCACACACACGTCTATGATAATGGCTTATTCTGCGATTTATTATGTAAATAAGACTGCGTCGTGACCTCATGATTCCGACCATTCAGCGGGCACCTTCTGTCGGGTCTTCCGTAACCCGTTGTCGTATTACAAAAAATCATTGTAGCCAAACTGACCTATCAACTGCTCAGTCCACATTTCTGATCGAAATAAAGTCAACATTTACAAGGTCGACTCGATTGGCTGGAGCGCGCTGTCGCGTGAAATGTGCTTGATCGGCTATAGGCACACGCTCGTAGAGAGGCTCTGCACTCGTGAAGGTCTGTTTCTCAGACAACATAAGAATCACACAATTTTTCAGAATTGTGAGCTGTGAGCATAACTTTTCTGCTTGATGCCGACGGTTCGGTGGCGGCGCAAGCAAATGAGGACGACCTGAAGGGCGGTTTTAAAAAAACTCCTAAAGTTAACAAAGTACAAAGATAAAACATTCTTTATTATTACCCTTGTCGTGTAAAACTAAGTACAGTCTCCCCCTTAAAAGCTGTGCGATTTTAACCATAAAGGGGCCGGGGACGGAATCCGCCCCCTCCCCCTCAACTTTTTCCGCGATAGCCCGAAAAAAAAAATTTCGCGACCCGAGCTGTTATGACTTTTTAGCCTCGAGCCTTGCGCATCTTTTGATACCAAAAACAAAAAAATCGGACCACGGGCGGAATCCGCTCCCCCCCCCCCCCCCCCCCCCGCCGGCTGAGAGATGGTCAAAATAACCCGGCCTGATTAGGGTTAAAGTTTCATTTCGAAAAAGAAATTGCTTTTCTAGACAGTAATTTGTCTAGCAATAGGCATGTGGTATGCATATTCACTTTTTAATGGGACATCTACTCAGGGTCAGATCCAGATTTTTTTATTTTTCATTTTAGAATTTTAGAAAATTCATTTTTTTTTTCATTTTAGAATTTTTTTTGCTGATGAATATCAGCAAAATAAATTCTAAAATGTAGACAGGTTTTGTTTTCTCCGGATACTTGGCTTCCGTAAATTAAAAACACTGGGTGGGGCGGGGGGGGGGGGGGGCTGCTACCATATTTCAATAGGGGGCGCTGTTCAAATTGGACGATTATTAACAATAGATTACAAAAAAAGTGTACAAATACCCCTTACTAAGCTGGATCTTTCCGTATTTTTGCACAGGAAAACATTATTCCAGCATAATTTCTTTTGGGGTGCCAGAGCAGGGGGGGGGGGGGTCGCAGTATTATTTATAAATTTCTATGAAAACAAAAATTTGGACAGAGCTGGGGGGGGTGAACCCCCAAACCCCTCGCTGGATCCGCGCCTGCTACTGAAAAAAAAACAGTTCCGTTTTTAGTCACTGAATTATTATCTTTACAATTTCTAATTGTTGGTCACAATTAAGACAATAATCCGGTCTCACTGGTTCCATCCCCATAGTCGGTGTCGGTAATGTACGGACCTGGAGCTAGTCTGCTCGCAAAGCGGATATGTTTATGCTCAAAACGAAATACATTTTCATAGGGTTGCAGATTTCCCCCTCACAAAAAAAAGGGAAAACATGTGTTTGATTGGATTAAACATAGCAGTTGAAATGTAATAATAATAAACAAAAAATGATATCAATTCCTTGAAAAGTACAGGAAACACAGCTTTAAAGAGTGTGTGATGCTGCCCTAAGGAAGAGCTTTAGCAGTCAAGAAATCATAAATGAGCATCTTAAATTGTGGTTAACATGTACCCATTGAATGGAAATAAACTAAAAGTGCAATAACAAAATTTTGAAAAATCAATTCCAATGTTGCTTTCTATTCTTAATTGAATAATTTGGTGCGGTGTCACTGACAGAACACACAATCATAGACATGCAACCGCTTTCAGAAACACAAATCATAAGTAGAGCAATCGGTCTATTATACTATTGTAATAATTACTGAACATGTGGATTCAATTCCTGCAAGTAACGTCTTTCTTTCATACCTCTCTATATTATGCATACAACAAGCAGAGATATTAGCAGATGTATTTACCGCAAAAAATATCTGCTCTTCCGATGTTCCTCAATGCTGCGCGCAACGTTGTCTTCTGCAGTTCAATACTGGTAGGCTGGGCAAGTGTCCATGTCCCAAGCATTTCAAGACCTTGCCTTATGGTATTTTGTGGGTAGACTCTCTCGATAGTCTGAATCTGTATCCTGGTAATGCACAGCTCAAGTGCCAGTTGTACCCATTCAGGACCAAGTCTCTCGGCGACTATGAACAGAGTTTTGTCATTGATAGATGATTCTGCAAATCAGAATGATATAAATAGGTCTGAGTAGGTTAAACATGCATATTTAGCAAACCGGGATGTGTTATCTGTGAAATTAGAAGTGACATCTTCGTGTCGTCATCACATGTCACAGAATCCTTTCAATCAGCCGAAACAGCTGTTGTTTGTCCACAAACACTGTGTAGTTTATTTTGTTTCTAATCAGCACCCGATTTCAAGAAGCGCTGCGACGCGTTGCAACTCGAGTTACGACGTGTAACACGTCGCAACTCGCGACGCGTCGTATTTTCCATTTCACGAAAGTTGCGATGTGTTGAACGCGTCGTAAGTTCCTTGACAACGGCTTAAAACACGTCGCAAGTTAAGACGTGTCTAGTGGTCGTCGCAAAATAAGAAGAGTCATTTCTAAGCCAGTTTTAATGCCATAAACATTACATTAACGAGATTATTATACCGAGGCAATGCGTGAAAAGTTGTAAATAGAAAATTCATTTAATAATTATGAATTAGACCGGAATATTAGAATTGAAATTTCCAAGTAGCTATACAGTCCAATGAGAGTTTGTTTTCCTTCGAAATTGCATCGCACGGCCATCATTTTGTTTTACGTTTTAACAAATTTCGAGCTGAGATCCGACGACTCTTTGTTGAATATCAGGCTACTATTTACTGTACGCTGACCAAATACATAAACCAGTCACCGAGTTGTGCTATAAATACACCTACGACGTGTCGCACTTTTTTACGACGTGTTTTGTGAAATGGATCGTAGGACGCGTCGCAGCTGCGACGCATCGTAGAGATACGACGCGTCGCATCGCTGCGATGCATCGTAAGTTACGAAGAGTTTGATGAAATCGGGCGCAGGCAGTCCAAAATCTATTCCGATAAGACGTCAAAATGGTTTGATACCTGAGTCATTGTTTTGTGATACTTGTTGCAATTATTCTTATAGTCATTGAAAATAGCAAACTGTACATGAATCAGCATGACAAAAGCTCTATAGTTTGGCTGTGACTAGGCCCTTCCTCGTAGAGGGTTCGGGAACCAGACTTTACCATTTTAATTTAGACAGAAAGGGCACAGCCTTCCAAATTGAGCCTATGCCTGCATGTCTTTACAACATTTTAATGGATGAATTATCAATGTGCTCTTTATTTGCCCTCGCTTAACAGTGTACTTTTGTCAGGACAAATCTAGTCATAATTATCTCAAATGTCTGATATACAAAAAAAATACCTTCATGGAAAAAAGTTGTAACCCGTTTGTTTTCATCTAGCGCAGCAGCGAATTGTTTGCATTGCCTAAACGTATTTCGGGTGGTGTATTAAGCCACGCTTGTGTCAGATTTAAACATAGTCGGCACCACGAACTGAAACGCAGTTGCGCGTGAGTGCACTGCATGCGTGCGTATCTACAGTACCGGTGTCATATGAAATCTGACTCCTATGAAAATCGGACTCTTTTCCGAATTATGGGTTAATCCCTCGCACGTGACAGGTTACTCTCCAATTATGATCCTAAAAATAGCGCATTATCGTGCTTACGCATGCGCAATACTTCCAATGAGTCCATATTTCATGGAGTCGGATATTCACGCTACACCTGGTTATTTTGGGTTTCACTAACTGACATCCTCCACAGTGCGGCACTTTTAGAGCAATTAAACCCCATATATTTTCGGTTTCACGAACTGACACTGACCTTAATTTCACCAATTAAAATGCTTTTTAATTAAATATTTGTGCGAGCACACAAGTATACGGATGGATTAAATTCGTGTTCTGTATATGTTTGGGTGTCAGTTCGTGAAAACGAAAACGTCCTTTTTGCGTCAGTGTTGATGTGCGCACGCACTACCGGGCGTCAGTTCGTGAAACAAAAATTGTTGATTACGTGGTTTTCACGAACTGACACCCACTTGCGCGTGAGTGTTAGTTCGTGGTGCCGATGACGCAAGTAACCCAAGCAACTTTTGTGAAAACAGGCGTTTGATTGGAATGCTATACCAGCACTGAAACCGCTCGATTTTTGAGGGACAAGATTTTATGCAAAAAAGTAGCACCAACAAAAATTTACAAAAAAACAAATACAACTTAATGAATATTATTAAGGAAATAAATGTGTGCTTGACCGGTTTTAAACACTATGCTTAAGACCAGTTGGAGTTTGGATGCTGATAATTAACCAAGCTGAAGGCCAGGGTAATTATCATTATCATTATCATTATCGCTCAATCAATAAAAGGGTGATGACACCAGATTTGATACTCATAGTGATCAACCGTTTAAAACTGGCCATGTGACGGGCTCTAAACCAATCGGAATGGCTTAACTGTCTTTGTGTATTCATGAATAAGTATTAATCATAAATTAGGGGAAGTTAGCTTTCTATTGGTATCTTGGATTCATTCCTCCTAAACGCAATTGTCTTGAAAATGGCATGTGGATACCCTCTTGGAACAGTTTGGGGTAAAACAATGTGAACACAACCATGTTTCTTTATGTTTTCACAAATCTAAATATAAATTGAACCTACTTGTGTATTATGTCTGGATATGCTCATTATCCCCCCACCCAAAAAAAAAAAAAAAATTCCAAGAGGATTTTCACCTGCAACCAAAACAATGGAATTCAGTGATGCATGGCCAGAGGTATGCATCAAAGATATCATTGGAAAACGTACTGCCCTAAGTTTATATTTTAATATAATAATAAATTGTCATTTTGTCCATAGCTTGTTCATATTATCCCGTTGTTTGTGCCTTTTTTGGGACACCCTAGGCATATGTTCTTTTTTACATCACATTAATACATTACTCTACTGCTTAACGAGTTATCTTATACTAGGTCTATCTGTCTGCCGTGAAATAAGGGGTTTGAGAGCAAAAAACAGTCACCGTGCATTCCGTCAAAAGTACCCCTTTAAGTTTCTAGACAACATACCTTACTTCAAGTAATTAATCTCCAATAGTACAACACATGTTTAAAGAAGTTTTTGAATTTTAAGTCCGATCTAAATCCCAAAACGGTCTTTAGATTGATGAAATAGGCAGGGGGAAGTACAATGAAATGCAACCACCCATACCTCCAGGTAGCCTGCTAGGACCGGCTTCATCCTGAGTGTCCCTCTCCCTGACAGCAGCCTGTGGTTGTCCATCCATACTGTGTTGGTTCGTGGTGCAGAATTGAGAAAGACGATGCTTAGAGCATCAGCTGAGAAATAATAAATCAACAGTCACAACTATAGTTGGGTGATCTAAGCATTCTTTGTGTGCCCTAAATGCAAAATCAATGTTTCCCACCGCTGCAGTGTTCGTCTCAACTTTTGACCACGATTGCAGAAAAAAAATGCATATTAAATTAAGGATACTACGTTAGCGTAAAAGGGCCAAAAGAAATTAAGAAAAATTTAGTTCCTATCTCGCCGCGGCGATTTACTTTCTTGCCGCGGCGAGTTACTATTTCGCGACGGCGAATTACTATTTCGACATTACTCAAACAGTTCGAAACTAGACCATACATCTTGTTATGGACAAAATGGGCCCATCCTTCCCATTGGATAGATAGTTCGAAAACAGACTATATAACATATTATATGTACTTCTGTACCATAAAGATCGCCTCCTTATGCAATGTGGTATCCAGCCCAGCTACCCCCCCCCTGAAATTTCAACAATCAGGTAATTTTAAGATTTTGGTCATCCCATATTCCCTCATCCCCCACTCGCCGGCACGGATTTACGCCACTGAAACTCAGTGATTCATGACCAAAGGAGTGGATCTAAGACATCAATAAAAGCTAACTGCTCTATACAAATCATCAATAATTATGGTCAATAAGTTCATAGTTTGTTCATATTATCCCTTTTGTTTGTGGGTTGCCCTTTTGGGACACACTGTAGATTCAATTGTATGAAAATGTTATTTCCAAAACAGGATAAACGCCATTTTCTTAGCTTTTGGAATCCCATCCTCCCCTAGCTGTCCGAAATCAGTTGCAACACGTTTTAACTGAGATAAATAAATCGGAAAGTGAAGTTTAGAAACAGCTGTTATACTGTTTTCATCCATACCTCCAGATGCTTGTCCGTGGCCCGTTTTGCCCATGTAGATGGCCTGCTAAGACCTGCTTCATCCTGACCGTCCAAGCTGTGTTGTTTCGTCGTCCAGATTTGAGAAGGACTATGAATATAGCATCAGCTGAGAAATAATGAATCAACAGTCACAATAATAGTTGGATGATCCCAGCATTATTTGTCCTGCAGGCAAAGAGTTTCCCACCATTTGGAAAAATGTGAGAACCTTACTTCATATGTTAGGTTTGAAGTCTCAATTCAAATATAGAAATGGAGCAGCGCGTGTCAAAACGGTAGACTGAATGCACAATGAGACTTGAGATTCTTTTGACACACTTTGCTTATGCATGACTAGATTTGTCTTGGGCCAGTCTATTTTTCTGGCCTCGAATGTTCTCACTCTATTCAGGCCAAGTAATTTGAGGTTCACTCTTTTAGGCAGCCCCGAAATGTATCTCAAACTCTTGACTTCCTCCGTATAGCAGTGAGCGCTAGCAATGTTCCCCGAGTTTGAACTATTTGAAAGCTATATATACTTACCCGATTTACAGAAAACGGAAAAATCACATTCCTACCTCTGGACTTGTTGGTATATTGTGTGAAAATTCTGCAGTCATTTCAGCTAGAAATGTTACCCCCCCCCCCCCCCCCCCCTGAGTGAACATCGAGTGGGAAAACAGGCTACATTTTGAATTCGGGGAACGCAACTCTTCAGGAAATTGAGCACGGATTGTTGTGGTCCTTAATACAATACGGATGAAGTGTTGTATGCGAGAAGAATTGACGGGGTTAGCTTTTAAACAATATCAAATATTATTCTTGTTAGGGCCTACTATGAAGTGAATTTGGCATTAAAAAAAGTTCTCGACAACTTCACAGCGTCAATAAAATACATTTAAAGGCGTTATGGGACGAAGGATGCATGATAGAGCCGTGCCACTATTTCGTGATATACATGGGATTTAATATATTCTCTGAAAAGAGATTAAAAAAACCCAAGTGTTCAGTGGTTTCTCGTGAATTACTTTGGAAGATGCAGGTAGCTTCTTGACAAAATAGAGCCAATGAGAGTATTATCTGTACAGTTGATGCAAATGTGTCTCCGTTTTCTCGTGTAAGCCTAAATTCATTTAATATCAGGTGATATTGTGTCATACGTACATTCCTGTTGCAAAAAAAACCCTGAAATGATAACTTATACCCCGTAGCTTAAAACTTACCTATGCTTCGGTGTACCGGCAAATCACTGACTGTGTATTATGAGAACAAGGTGGGCAAATGTACCTTGCCTTGGTTGAAATAGGCAAACAATCCTCCGTAAAGTACGAATTCATTCATAAGTTGGGTCTGGTATCAACATCGATTGTATCCTACTGAATAGCCAGCCATCAGTGATCTGCGTCACAGACAGTGGCGCGATCAGCTATGATCACATGACCAAGCAGACTGGACAAAACCATTATTACTCAGGTGTATTTGATGTGAAGAACATAAATTGCGTATCAATAGAATTCTCCAGCACTAATGCACTTTTGCTAAGACAAAAATATCAGATGATTATTTGAATTATACATCTTTTTCAAAATATTACCTAGAACTACGTAGCCTACTTTTTTGTAATACGTAGTTTTGTCTGGGATTGTTAAGCTGTGTTGTGCTTTGTATAGAAATGATTACAAAGAAAAGGGATGTTTGTATAGCACGCGCACGTGACGTTCCTGCAGTTGGCACTGCGACCGAAGTTGAACTTAAACAAGTTAATACATCACAGGTTCGGATAGTGCGTGCAATCTAGAAGTGACTGACGACGGCCGAGTGACCATGAATTACTTGACCCGAATTATTCTATGTGGTTATCATTGTGAAGCCCGGGAAGGGACAGAGTGGAATTTTATTTTTGTAAGTTGCTAATTCGTTCCCACGAATTGCTAACTCGTTCTCACAAATTGCTATTTCGTTCGCACGATTTCTCAATTCGTGGGAACGAATTGCTAACTCGTGCATCCGGGAATTTGGAATCGTTTGAGAAGTGATAGGAAACCATTCATGGGTAGAAAAAAAACATATGAAATTTCCCATGGGTAAAAGCCAATGGGGAAACTCCCAAGGGCAAAATCTAATGCTATACACGGTAGCCGATTTACCATGTAATTTCCATGGGGTTGCATGGGAAAATCGCTAGAGTTTATTGTTCATTTCCAATCGGGCAACATATTCTGCGATGTCCAATTCGTTCCGCATTCGATTTATGAATGAATAGGCCCTCACTCGAATGGATAAGCACGATGGTGAATATCAACGTAATAATATGTTGAATAAGACATCTCTCCGACACAACATCCCCAAAGTCACGGTTGTTTCATTATTTAATTCATTTATTTATTGATTTATTTATCACATTTCCTTACCCAGGGTATGCCCAAACAGTTTAAAACTGGTTTCCAATGGGGCCTGCATACACTGTTAATGATTATACACACATGTACAAATATAATACAAATATTGAATGCTTCGAGTGGTGTAGTAAAACTAGCCTCCCGAAGTGATTCATTGACATTTTATTTTCCCGAGGCGAAGCCCAAGGGAAAAAGAATGCTCTATGGATCACCGAAGGATGCTGGTTTAACTTCACCACGAGATAAAGCATTCAATATTTGTTTTATAACATTTTAGCCACAGATTCTGCTTGGTTTTAATTTTCTAAATTATTTAAATCTGAAACTTCAATTTCAATACAAAAGTGGTGGTAAATGTATTTCTCTTTTCCAAACCACCCTTTCACGAAATGTCTGGACCAATTTACTAGAGAGCTAATTCCTCATTCTTGCGCGTAAAGACTCTTTGAAGCCTCTCTGAAATGAAATTCTATTACGAAAATAATTGTTGTGTGCAACTTTTACTTCTCTTCCCTTTTTTGGTTTATTTTGTTAAAAAAGGCACTTCTTTAAAGAAACATTTCTTTAAAGAAAATTCCATATTTTTTTGGACAACTGAGGGCTACTGTGATGTAATTTTTGGAATAGGCCTACACTGTTCAGTTAGGGGTTTTCTGTTCAAATTGTTGCTGTTGCTCATTGAAAACATTTGAGAAAAACAGTTTGCTCGTGGGCTTTTTGCCATGATGTACTGACACAACGCATCACAACAGAAAAGAACATTTTAAGTATCCAAAATTCGGTGCTGAAATGACAGTAATACTGAGGTTTCTGCCTGCAATGAGAAAACACTTTTACTCATGAATATGGAAATTCACATTAGCATAAGAAACAAGAAGGCACCAAAATACCCTTGAAAATGGAAAAACAAAAGTTAAATACAAGGTAAAATGGGACACAAAGGTGCATTTTCAATGATTGCGTTAAAACAATTACATAGCTTGCCCTTTAATGACAGTCCTGTCTTTGCTTCTATTCTATAAACTTATCTGCTCATAATGTAGCAATGAAGAGCATGCAGAGCAATTAGAGGGGGATTTAGGGGAAATGCTGAACATAGTAAAGATGTACATGCTTTGGGTATAAGATTAAGCGTCTACGTAGGAAGTAGCGGTTCGATGTATTTTGTAGTGTGTCGGAAAGAGATCACAGAAACAAGTTGCTGGGATTTTGGAAGGTGATAACAATGTTTGACTACGTTGATAATGTATGTGAATTGTGATTGTATCGTTTGTATGTGATTGTATCGAATCGATGATGTTTTATATCCTAAAACAAATTGTAAAGGATCTCCTAGTCAATGCATTATTCATGTTAGCTTAGCTCCAGAAGTGCCTTCGGATAACACTGTAACTTAAATACATGTACCAATCATTAACATAAAACCCTGTCATGCATGAAAAGTATATATTATGATATAACTTTGCAATCTATTTAACAACTTCCCTGTCCATAACACAGTATTTCTTGTGTTTTCCATCGTTCGATAAAACACCAAAAAGTATCATTCGATAAAACAAACTTGTTCTACCTATAAATGTTTGCATTATGGGTAGGCGACTAAACTGTTAGTGGTCATAAATGATCACCATAGATGATCACAGCATTGGACTCTGTCCAGAAAGTATATAGGGACAGGGAACGTTTCAAAACGCATTTTGATTTACTGCATGGTGTAACGAGTTAACCTATAGGCCCGATGTTTTCTCCGTTTGGAGAGCCAAGTGCAATAGGTTTGTTCCTGTTTCAACCATTCCCTAGATTGTACTCCGACATGAGTTAATTGGTTGCAGACCAGTAAACATAGGCCCAACATTGCCTACGCCGGCCAAATCACGATTTGCATGTCCTCAAATTATCTGATATTGGAGCATTTTATTGGCCGTGAGTTTGAGCGTTTGTAAAAATGAATGGTGGAGGCCGTGCACAGGACTGTAAGTGTGACCTTGTATTTCTTTGAAATTTGGCAGAAATAGAGCACTAAAAGTGCTCTATTTGCAATGGAGAGTTCGCATCAGTTTTCAAAAATTGCGTTTTCAAAAATTGCGATAGGCTCCAGGACTATTTTTAGACTATTTATTTGTGATCATCTATGATGATTTTTTTTCCCCAAAACTTCATTGGACGTTGGAGTTGTGAGCATTTTCCTGAATTTCAGAAGTGGGGGCATTGCTCATTGCGGTGGCGGTTTGTTTACTGGTCTGCAAACCAAAGGCTAGGCACGCACGTCGCTGGTTTGCATGCGCTTTCCTCACTCGCTAGCATTATGTAGAATCCATGCATACCAGGTAAAAGTCTATCATAAAAATGGCAGCTATGTTCCCTATGGGCCTTATTCACGAGTTGGTCATTTTTGTCGAGTTCCCTGAATGTATTTCATTAATTGTTAACTGTGAAATGGAATAGTGCCAGACTTTTTGTGCAGGCACAATTCAGCCTTATTGTACTGTCATTTTGTTTTAAAAATATGGCTTTAAACATAAGGGAACGTTTAATTACATATTTTAAAATATTCATTGAAGCAGACTGAAATTTATTATAACTGAACTTGCTTTCATTTCTCTTCGCAAGTTCCAAAAATTAAGAATGACCTAACTTTCAATTCAATATGGCTGCAAGCGACGAGGGGGATACTTGTGTCATATGTTATCTGCACGACTTACTTTTCCATCGAGGATTTGTTTCTGATCAAACACAAATGACTTGTAACCAACAAGTTGGGCATAAACAAGAAACTATAAAAAAAAAAAAAAAAAAAAAAAACTGCAACGAGAAAAGTAAACTGCAAAAACTCATTTGCTACTGGTCGTTGATCATGTAGGTCACGCGAGATTTGGTGCAATCTCGTATATTCCCGGCGAGCTTCCTGGGATCCCAGTTTGATGTGTAGATGCCCGGCCTCAGCCCCCACTGGTTCTCCGAGTAAATGCCCAGGCTGGAGTAAACTCGAGGCTTGAATACGATTCGCCCTCTGAAGCCCAATTTGCGCAGTTTAGCCTCTACTTTCATCACGTCTTCTTTGTCAGTGAAATCTTTAGTGTACACGCTGACGACGTGCTGCTCTTGCGAAGCTGTAGCGTACAGAGCTTTCCCTTCTTTGGTGTCTTCGCGCGGTGTCACCTTGGCGTGTGTGCCCAGCTTGTCTCGGACCGTAGCCCTGGCGATTTTCTCCCACGCATTGTCGATCTCCTCTCCGGTGTCAAGAAAGAGAAGCCAAATTCCACCCAAGCACCTTCGGAATTAGTTCCAACAAATGAACACGTAATAGGACCTTTCAAGTTCTTCTAAGAACTGTCAGTTTTGGCAATGTTAATCAGAGCTGAGAAAAGTGGATTCTCGTGTGCACGGAAAAGCCTTACAAATTGTTCAAATGTTAGTTTTGTGTACGTATACAGAATGTGATAATTGAACAAAAGATGGCATCTCCCCGTTAAAATGCTATAAAACCAACAGCCGGCGAATGGGATTTTACATGTAACATGCCATAAGAAATATCGTGAATATTTTAAATAACAGGGTGTTTTTTAACCTCCCCTTCCCATTATCAACGGAATAGATGGAACAAGCCGTACGTGTCCGATACTGGCATTTTTTATTAATGTTAACATTTTTCAGTGCATAATAGACTAGTTGAATAAATAATTTGGGTACGAGAGAAGACAAATAAACAACAACAACAATAAAAGATACTTTGACGTGAAATGAGACATGGCACCATCCCCCAATTCTGGGGTGAAAAAAAAAATGTTATTACATACTTATGAGGGATTGCCAGTTGCTTGATAGCATTAAAGTCGATATTTTGTCTTGATCTCTGGAGCTTCTTCCAGTCGGCTTCAAGGTCCTCCAGATTTCCCAATCCCTCCTCCTTGTAGGAGGCAGACACGACTCGGATCCAACCAATGCCCTCAGATCTACAGATAAAAGAGTAACAATTTATAGAACATTTT